GTAAGATGAAAAAATAGAAAACTGAAAGTGGGAACTGGTGGGGAAAGGGAATAAGTGGACACAAGTGATCGGCGGGGGAAAGGGGGAGGAGAACAAGCAGAGAAATGAAGACACGCGACCTCGATTCAACTCCAGCGCTCCTCTACTCTTCTCCTATGCCAGCCGTTTTTCTTATTCTAACTATCTACTTGTCTAGTATAGGAATATCTAAATTTTGCAACTTTTCTATCTTATTTTCACAAGTCTTACAGCCTTAAAAGCCTTAAAACCTTAAAACCTTAAGCCATAAAAGCCTTAAAGCCTTAAAACCTTAAAACCTTAAAGCCTTAAAGCCTTAGCCTTAAAGCCTTAAAGCCTTCAGCCTTAAAGCCTTAAAACCTTAAAGCCTTAAAGCCTTAAAGCCTTAAAACCTAAGCCTAAGCAAAAGCCTAAGCATAAACCTAAGCATAAGCCTAAGACTAAGCCTAAGCCTAAGCCTAAGCCTAAGCCCAAGCCTGAGCCTAAGCCCAAGCCTAAGCCTAACTCCGAGAACTGGCTGAGATCCAGAAAATGGGGGTTTAGCTCAGACCCAAATAGACTTAGTGCTAGGCGCTAGCCGCTAGCCTACGCACTAAGTCCAAGTCTGAGCTAAGCCTTAAAGCCTTAAAACCTTAAAGCCTAAGCCTTAAAGCCTTAAAACCTTAAAGCCCTGAAGGCCTTAAGCCATAAAAGTCAAAGCCTTGTTAGTTTAGTGATTTTTAAGCTTATTCGATTATTCTTTACAATAGCTTTCACTCAATTAAGGCAACTTCTTGTTTGGTGGTGTAGTTTTAAGATAAAAAAAGAGGGAACACAACCCTTTCTAGCGCATTAGATCTATAAAATTCTATCTTTGAATTCTAAAACTTTGAATCGATTCACTGAAAATAGTGCAAAATTGGTTTTAAATTCAAATTGTAAACTTCGCATAGCTTGCAATTGTAAACTTTGCACTTTGCCTTTTGCATAGCTTTCATTTTCATTAAACTAGACGTTGATTCATCAAAAAAGATCAAATGAGACATTGATTGTGGGGAAAAAGTGAAAGAAAGACACGCGACCTTGATTCACTTTTCTTCTCACTTTCCCTGCCTTCTCTTATTTTCATAATTTCCTTAAATCCTCAAATTCTCAAATTCTCAGCTTCTCAAATCCTCAACTTCTCAAATCTGTCAATTTCCATCTTTTTCCATCCTAGCTTTCACTAGAAATCACTAGAAATCACTAGAAAACCTCTTTTTTTGCTAGAATCGGGGGTGGGACAAATGCGGCCTTTTTTTGCGCACCTGGACATTTGCGCACCTTTTTTTTGCTGGAAAAGGCCTTAGGAAAGGTCGTAGAGCTTCGAAAATATTTCCACATAAAGGAATCATATGCGTAGATTCCGAAATTCGACAAATCAGACCTCGCTGACAAGTCAAATTTGGGCTAAATGGCAAAAATTTACGCAACTTAACGCTTTTCCGCAGTTTTTGCCTTTTAGCCCAAATTTGACATGTCAGCGAGGTCTGATTTGTCGAAATTCGGAATCTACGCATATAATTCCCTTATGTGGAAATATTTTCGAAGCTCTACGGCCTTGCCTAAGGCCTTTTCCAGCAAAAAAAAAGGTGCGCAAATGTCCAGGTGCGCAAAAAAAGGTCGCATTTGTCCCACCCCCCTAGAATCTGCTAGAATTGCTAGAATTACTTCTAGAAATAAGCTTACGCTTGTCGAAAAATTTACTTTCATATTTTCTACTTCAAAAATCAATCGAAAGATCTAAACTCTAAAACAATCTACCTCTAAATAGATAAACTTTTATCTAAACCAATCTAATTCTTGAGCAGATCGATTTTTTTTTCTGCCCTTTTACTCTACGAGAATTGTTTTGAAACTCACAAAAAAAAACCCCATCTGATAGCTTTATAAATCCATGTTTGCCCCATTGTGCTCCTCGATGCCCTCCGCCTTCACTCTTCCTTTGCCCCTTCCCCACCCCTCCCTTTTTCCATCTAGTGTGTGTATTGTCAAGCGTGAATCAACACCCTATTCTTTTTCTTCTCTTCTTCTTTCTTCTCTTCTTCCCTTCTTCTTTCTTCTCTTCTTCTCTTCTTCTTTCTTCTCTTCTTCCCTTCTTCTTTCTTCTCTTCTTCTCTTCTTCTTTCTTCTTTCCTCTCTTCTTCTTTCTTCTCTTCTTCTCTTCTTTCTATCCTTTCTCCCATTTTTTTTGATCCGTTTTCCCCGAGAGCCCAGGTATTATACTTGTCATGAAACCGAGAATTCTTTGTTATTATTTGAAAACATTTTCCGAATCCCTGCTTACTGTACTAATTTTGAAAAGGGTTTTCTCTGAAAAAGTTTCAGTTTTCTTTTCTTTTCTTGTCTTTTTGGAGTTTCAAAAGAAAAAGGAATGCTGAACTGATCATATTTTGACTCTTTTGGCAACTGCTAAAACACTGCTTTAAAAAGATTGTCTCATAGCTGGCCATTAGCTTAGTTTAACTGTCAAATAGATAAAATCATCTTAAATAACTTTTATCTGCAATTTATAGAGTTGCGCCTGCACTGGCGTGCTCCACGAGCTGCACTGGCGTGCTCCAATGCTACCATTACTACCATTTTTGGGGAGAATCACTCAGAGGCCCTAAAAGACCATCATTTGATGAGCCAACATAACAGCCAGCCCAACTTCAGACGGCCCAACGCCCAAAAACTATCCAAGGTGTCCGCAGCTTAAGATAGTTAAAGACTTAAAAAATAGCTTTAAAAAGTCAAAAGTTAATAACAAATTCTTTATTCGAATCATAACAACAAATAGCTTGTAAAAAATGCTCGAAATTTCCACCATCCACTTCGATACACCTCTTTAAACGCTTTGGGAAGTTCCTCACAATGGTGGCGCGCTTTTGAACAGTTATTTCAATGCCAGGCTCGTTTCCAGGCTCGTTCCCAGGCTTGTTCCCAGGCTTGTTCCCAGGCTTGGTTTAGAGCAGCTTTTAAAGCATCCATTGTATATACGTCTTTATCGAGATCTTGTCTTTCAAAAAAGCCTAAACGGAGTAAATGAGGGGATTAGGTTTGTTTAACTTTGGTTAACTTTGGTTTTGGTTTGGTTAGCCTTAATCAGGCTAACCAAGCCTGAGCCTGAGCCTTAATCAGGCTAACCAAAAAGGCTAACCTAAGCCTTAATCAGGCTAACCAAAAAGGCTGACCTAAGCCTTAATCAGGCTAACCAAAAAAGCTGACCTAAGCCTTAATCAGGCTAACCAAACTATTGAGATCTACAGAATTGAGCCTGTTGCTTTTTTTGAGTTTGGTTAGCCTGATTGTTTCAGGGTAAACTTTAGGGTAAACTTTGTTTAGGCTAAACTCGAATGGAGTTATTGCTATTAAAATGCTATTGCTATTGAAATTGCTACGGAAATTGGTATTGAAATTGCTAATCAAACGATTGCTATTGAAATATGAATTGCCATTGAATTGAAAGAGATTGAAAGACGACCTTTGTGTACAAACACTCAAGCAAAGTTGTCTATAGCTTATATTTATCCTATTACTTATGCCGCTTAGCCGATATTTTTGGTCTAAACGGTCTCCTTCAACAGATGTAACCCGAAAAGTCATTATTTGGTGATCTCTTTGTGCCTTTCTCTGTTTATTTTCTTCAAGACTGAATTCCCCGTCGATTTGCCTAGGCATTTTGTGTGTTCTGTGCCGTGTTTGCTCTTTCCAAAGAGTTTCTGCCAGCCGAGAAAAATCAGAGTAAACTTTGAGTCAAAAAAGATCGAGAAGAAAGGTATCAGTCTCGAAAATAGAGACAAAAGAGTTTTTTTTTCTAGAAGACTTCTAGAAGACACTAAGACTTTTTTTTCTATTCAATGATTTGGTTTTGAAAGAGTTACCGTATTTTCTGTAATAGTAGTGCAGTCTATAATAGTAGTGCAGTCTGTAATAGTAGTGCAGGCAGGAGGGGGCTTGAAAAAATAGTAGTGCGCACTACTATTACAGAAAATACGGTAATCAAGTTCTTGAGTTGTACCAGAAGATTTCTTTTTTATTTTGAAGTCTTTAACATGTACAAAGTGTGGCGAAAGTTTTCTTTGAAAGGCCGAAAGGAAAGCTTCGGCTTTAAAGCATTGCTTATTAAAGCATTGCTTATTAAAGCATTGCTTATTAAAGCATTGCTTATTAAAGCATTGCTTCTTAAAGCATTGCTTCTTAAAGCATTGCTTCTTAAAGCATTGCTTCTTAAAGCTTTGCTTCTTCAGGCATTGCTTCTTCAGGCATTGCTTCTTCAGGCATTGCTTCTTCAGGCATTGCTTCTTCAGGCATTGCTTCTTCAGGCATTGCTTCTTAAAGCATTGCTTCTTCAGGCATTGCTTCTTCAGGCATTGCTTCTTCAGGCATTGCTTCTTCAGGCATTGCTTCTTCAGGCATTGCTTCTTCAGGCATTGCTTCTTCAGGCATTGCTTCTTCAGGCATTGCTTCTTCAGGCATTGCTTCTTCAGGCATTGCTTTATGAAGAGACGACAATACGTTACTAATGACGGCCGTAATGACGATTCTTTTTCTGGTATCAACTCAAGTTTTCAACAACTTTTGTTATTCATTTTGCAGAAAGTTCTCGGCAACTTTGTACTAGTTTTCAAGAAGAGATTCAAGCCTATCGAATGTGCTATAATAGTTTCGTTTATCTTTAAATCTGTCAATTGAATTGTCAATTGAACTATCTGTCACTAAATTATCGATAAAACAGTTGACGACTACGCGATTGTACGCCCAGAATATCATTTTCTTGTATTTCACGTGTAGCTGACTAAGTTGACTTGTTGAGAGTTGACGAATTTCTTCCGATCTTTCTCTTTCTCAGCATAAAGCTTCTAAACTAAATGTCTTTCTAAACTAAATGTGTTGTTTTACTGTTATTTGACTGTTTTTTGACTGTTTTTTGACTCTCTGTTTTTATCTTTAATTTTATCTCATCCAGAGCTTTCCAGGTAATGATCGACACGGCCGTTCGGCCGGTCCGATGGTCTGCGTTTGGGAATAACAGGTGAAGAAGATAAATAACGTATTGATTCTAATAGAAGCCTCTAATAGAAGTCTCTAATAGGAGCCTCTAAAAGAAGTTTCCAATAGAAGCCTCTAATAGAAGCCTCCAATAGAGGCCTCCAATAGAAGCCTCCAATAGAAGCCTCCAATAGAGGCCTCTAATAGAAGCCTCCAATAGAAGCCTCTAACAGAAGCCTCCAATAGAAGCCTCTCATAAAAGCCTCCAATAGAAGCCTCTAATAGAAGTCTCCAATAGAAGCCTCTAACAGAAGCCTCTAACAGAAGCCTCCAATAGAAGCCTCCAATAGAAGCCTCTAATAGAAGCCTCCAATAGAAGCCTCTAACAGAAGCCTCCAATAGAAGCCTCTCATAAAAGCCTCCAATAGGAGCCTCCAATAGAAGCGTCTAACAGAAGCCTCCAATAGAAGCCTCTAACAGAAGCCTCTAAAAGAAGCCTCTAATAGAAGCCTCTAATAGAAGCCTCCAATAGAAGCCTCTCATAAAAGCCTCCAATAGGAGCCTCCAATAGAAGCCTCTAACAGAAGCCTCCAATAGAAGCCTCTAATCCACGCAATAAATTCATATTCAGCGATATTCAGCTTACTAGATCGAATACCTTGAGTTTTGAGCATTTAAGAATTCGAATAAATAAGGTAGATTGATGCTCAAAAAGTTAAATCTACGATTTATCTTTATACTTTGACTTAAAAACTGCAAAAATATGGATCTGGTACAGGCAATGATCTGGTTTTCCTCACAGCAATGGCTCCACATTTCAAGAAACCCATTTTTCTCACTTTTTTTCAAAGAATCAAAATGGATTTCTATTTTTAGAGCACTAAGTGCACCTTTTTAGAGTTTCTTTTCGTTGATTCGCTCAATAAAATCACCTTAAATTAGTCTTTTTTTGCAAAAATCACTTCTTTTTCTTTAAATTGATCAGTTTCAAGGTGAAATCTTTGCTGCGGAAAATCCAAATTTGATTATTCCACTCGAAATTGTCGACAAGGTTGTTGCGGGGAAAATGAGCTTAAAATTGATTAGAAATCCTGAAAATTGTTCAAAATTGATTAGAAGTGCTCAAAATTGCTCAAAATAGCTGAAAATTGATTCGAAAGGCTCCAATTTGATTAGAAATACTATAGAACTGCTCAAAATTGCTGAAAATTGATTAGAAATGTTCAAAATTATCCAAAATTGATTAGAAATGTTCAGAGCTGTTCAAACTTGATTAGAAATGCCCAAAATTGTTCAAAATAGCTAAAAATTGACTAGAAATGCTGAAAATGGATTAGAAATGCTCAAAATGGTTCAAAATTGATTAGAAATGTTAAAAATAGCTACAAATTGATTAGAAATGCTCAGAACTGCTCAGAACTGCTCAGAATTGATTAGAAATGCTCAGAACTGCTCAAAACTGCTCAAAACGGCTCAAAATTGTTCAAAACTGCTCAAAACTGCCCAAAATTGATTAGAAATGCTCAAAATTGTTCAAAATAGCTAAAAATTGATTAGAAATGCTCAGAACTGCTCAGAATTGATTAGAAATGCTGAAAATAGCTGAAAATTGATTAGAAATGCTCAAAAACTGCTCAGAAGTGCTCAGAATTGATTAGAAATGCTGAAAATAGCTGAAAATAGATTAGAAATGCTCAAAAACTGCTCAGAAGTGCTCAAAATTGATTAGAAATGCTCAGAACTGCTCAGAATTGATTAGAAATGCTGAAAATAGCTGAAAATTGATTAGAAATGCTCAAAAACTGCTCAGAAGTGCTCAAAATTGATTAGAAATGCTCAAAATTGATTAGAAATTATAGCAATTCCAGACTTCTCTACAACTAATACAATGCTAATCATTTAGCGCTTCTCCAACGACAATCGAAGTTGTTTCGGCTGACCGATTGCCGTTGAGCTTCAGCAAACCGTCTGGAGAGTGAGTTTCTATTAAAAATTAGTACAAAATTTGCCCTTTTTCATTCTCAAACTTTATCTATTTTATCATTTTTATCATTTTTATCATTTTTTAACATTTTTTAACATTTTTTAACATTTTTTATCATTTTTTAATATTTTTTATCATTTTTTAACCTTTTCACACTTTCATGAGCGAATTTTTGACCGGTTTTTGAAGCGAATCCCTTGACCGATCCTCGAGAATAAGAATCACAAGAAACTCCTCCTTTATTCAAAGCACAAAAACTTTTCCTCCTCAAGATCCACTTACTCAATCTCACTTTTCGACTTTTCTCACTTTTTCACTTTTTCACTTTTTTATAAGCTAAAATTTCATTTTTCTTACTGATGATTTAGGGATTTTTGTTTAGACTGTGGAAATTCGCGGCTCTCAAGGCTTTTTAATGAAAATTCTAGCTAAATTCTATTGATTTAAAGAGATATTTTAAAGATAAATAATAGGTTGATGCATAAGTCTTTTCGTTTTTTTCGTACTTCTGTTAAAAAGTAACAAATTCACCAATTAATCTATAGTTTGCTCCATAAAAAAAGTGTTTTTTTGTTCAATTTGCATCTTTTTAAATCAATTTCGGTTCACTTTCAAGCAAATTCGAGAGTGAAAAACGCCTTTTTCGTAAAAATCTATAAAAAACTCCACGGAAAAATTGGCTGAATGAGTTTCTCTGAAATTTTGGCGAAATATCAAACTTTTTTTCTCTATCTTTTATCTATTGACACGAAGATAGGTTTTCTTTAGCTAAGGTGTCTAAACCGCATCATCGAGTTTGACGCATCATGAGTTAGCCCTTTTTGACTACCCGACTTCATACTCTCAAGAAAATCCAGGCATAAAATATTTTTAAACCCGTTTTAATGTTATTTTGCAGAAAAATAATTGGTTTTTCTAATGAAATCAACCGTAGTTTAATTGGTGCATTTGTTGGCTTGAAACGGCAGACGAAAAGGAACGGAAAGACTTATGCATCAACCTAATAGCTATTTTAAAGCTGAATCCCTATTTTAAAGCTCAAAGAAGCTATTCCAAAGCCGTATACCTATTTTAAAGCTCAAAAAAGCTATTCTAGGGCTGAATACCTATTTTAAAGCTCAAAGAAGCTATTCCAAAGCTAAATACCGATTTTAAAGCTCAAAAAAGCTCAAAGAAGCTATTCCAAAGCTATTCCAAAGCTAAATACCTATTTTAAAGCTCAAAAAAGCTATTTTCAAAGTTTATCAATTCTAAAAACTAATATAACTGTTAGTAAAGAGATTCGATAAAATTGCATAGTGAATTTGTGATGTTTTGACGTTTCCAACAGTGATAATTTCATCGTTTTGACGGCTTTTCACAAAATATTCCTTCGGTTTTGTTGCTAATTCATTTTAGAGTAATGGAAATTCTACTTAAGTCGAATTTCCATTACTCAAAAATGAATTAACAACAAAAACGAAGGCATATTTTGTGAAAAGCCGTCAAAACGATGACTTAAGTAGATAATAAATGAAAAGTTTCCCAAAAAACCGCACGCTTTTCCCTTTAAACTTCGAAAAACCATGCATAGGCTTTAGAAAAGAAAAGAAGGCTTCAATCAAACATTTTTCACGATTCAACTCAAAGAATCTTCTGAAATTGCTCTTGTCTTATTCTTCTCTTATCACTTATCTCTTCACTCTTATTTCATCGCTAATAGATCTCAAAAATCTATTAAAAAAAAGTTTTCCCAATATAATCTGGCTAAATGGCTCAATCGAGCTCAAAATTTTGATCCAATAAGCTTGAGCTGAGCTGATTTTTGCAAAAAAAGACTAATTTAAGGTGATTTTATTGAGCGAATCAACGAAAAGAAATTCTAAAAAGGTGCACTTAGTGCTCTAAAAATAGAAATCTTTCAGCTCTTGTCCAAAGCTGTTAGCTGTTTCATTTTTCAAGCGATAGATTCTTTATTTATGTTTGTTTATGTTTATGTTTTAGCCCCTTCTTGTCCATTCATTCATTTTGGTATTCTTTATTTTATTACTTTATTAAGAATTTTCTTTCTTTTGTCTTCTTATATACCCCTTAGCCCCGCCCCTTTTTCTTCTTATATGACTTCTTATATACCCCTTAACTCCGCCCCTTCTTCCTCTTATATGTCTTCTTATATACCCCCTAACTCCACCCCTTTTTCTTCTTATATGTCTTCTTATATACCCCTTAACTCCGCCCCTTCTTCTTATGTGTCTTCTTATATACCACTTAACTCCGCCCCTTTATCATCTTATATGTCTTCTTATATACCCCTTAACTCCGCCCCTTTATCTTCTTATATGTCTTCTTATATACCCCTTAGCCACGGCCCTTCTTCCTCTTATATGTCTTCTTATATACCCCTTAGCTCCGGCCCTTCTTCCTCTTATATGTCTTCTTATATACCCCTTAACTCCGCCCCTTTATCTTCTTATATGTCTTCTTATATACCCCTTAGCCCCGGCCCTTCTTCCTCTTATATGTCTTCTTATATACCCTTTAGCCCCGCCCCTTTTTCCTCTTATATGTCTTCTTATATACCCCTTAGCCCCGCCCCTTTTTCTCCTTATATGTCTTCTTATATACCCCTAACTCCGCCCCTTTTTCTTCTCATGTCTTCTTATATACTCCTCAACTCCGCCCCTTTTTCTTCTTATATGTCTTCTTATATACCTCTTAACTCCGCCCCTTCTTCCTCTTATATGTCTTCTTATATACGCCTTAACTCCGCTCCTTTTTCAGTCCGTTTCCCGTTGGCAATCTCCGCATTTTTCTCGTATAATTGCCGATTTTGTTTGAAAAGCGTTGAATTTGCTTTTATTTAACTTGAAATCGAATTCTCTATCGAATGAAAGCAAATTCAAAGTTTTACAAAAAAATCCGGTTAAGGTACGAGTAAAATTCGTAGATTGCCAACGGCAAATCGACCGAAAAGGGGCGGAGTTAGAGGGGTATATAAGAAGACAGATAAGAAGAAAATGGCTGCCCCTAACTCAACTCCTTGAATCCAAGTTCAAGGCAACTTGACCTTTTTGACCTCAAATCGCAAATGGACTTTCCAAAAATCTTTTAAATTCATAGATTTTAAGAAAAAAAAATGAGTGAAGAGGGAAAAATCGTTGGTGGAAACAGTGAAATTGAGGAAATCGCTGAAAAAAAAGGAATCGAAGTGACCGTCAATCGCCGAAAAAAAAAAGAGTAAATCGCCCACCAAAAATTCTCGAGCGCAAAAATCGCAAAAATGAGAAATCCCCTTCAACTCTCACAGGTGTTCCTCTCACACTTTTGACACTTTTCTCTACCTTTTCTACCTTTTCTTCATCTCCTTTTCCCTATCTTCTTTTCTTGGATTAGTTCAAGAAATTGAGCACTTGTTTATGGTCACTTTCGATTCGAGATTGACATTTATTGTCTACAAGAGATTTGTAAAACAGCTCTTACTCAATTTTGACAATTTACTGAACCTAGTTTTATCTTTTTTTTGTTTAGAAGTCAATTAGAAGTTAGAAGTCAATCAATAGAAGTCAACAGGCAATCCCTGACAGATACAGAAATGAATCTAATTCACTTTTGGAAGTCAGAAATGAATCTAATTCACTTTTCAAAGTCAGAAATTAATCTAATTCACTTTTGTAAAGTCAGAGAATTAATCTAATTCACTTTTTAAAGTCAGAAATGAATCTAATTCACTTTTTAAAGTCAGAAATGAATCTAATTCACTTTTTAAAGTCAGAAATCAATCTAATTCACTTTTTAAAGTCAGAAATGAATCTAATTCACTTTTTAAAGTCAGAGATTAATCTGATTCACTTTTTGAAGTCAGAAATGAATTTAATTCACTTTTGGAAGTCAGAAATGACTCTAATTCACTTTTTAAAGTCAGAAATTAATCTAATTCACAATGAGTGCTCTTTCTTTCTTCAAACTTCAAAACTTTCTTTCAACTTTCAATCAAAATAAAACTTTCAATCAAAACAAAACTTTCAATCCTATCCTATCCAACAAAATCCTATCCAACGTCTTTACTTTTATTGTAATAAGTTTTTATACTTTATAAGAAACGAGTATAAAAGCTGTTTATGTTAAGAAAAATAAAAGTTAGCTTGAAATTTGTAGAGAATGATGTGCTAGGAAGCTAAACTCACACAAAGCCATTTTCACTTTAGTTTGTTAATTACAAGTTATTAGGTACATGCATAAGAAATGCGTATTTCGACATTTTCATAAATTTCCAACGATAGAAACCTGAAATCGATGAATGTTATAAACTATTTGAAAGTCGTAAATCTCCTCTACAAAATAGGCTAAAACGTGTTTCAATTGATCGAAGCATTGAAGAAATTTCGAGGCCGAAATGCGAGTGACCAAAAAAGGAATCGAGTCACTTTAGGGACAAGTTTAGTGTGGTCAAAATAGAGTTAGCTTCCCTTTTTGAAAACCCCACTTTCTGAACACCAAGATATTTGAGCTCAAAGTTAGATTACTAATGGGAAAGTTAGATTACTAATAGTGCTCTTTCTTTGCTCTTTTCTTCAAACTTCAAAACTTTCTTTCAACTTTCAATCCTATCCTATCCAACGTCTTTACTTTTATTGTAATAAGTTTTTATACTTTATAAGAAATGAATATAAAAGCTGTTTATGTTAAGAGAGATAAAAGTTAGCTTGAAATTTATAGAGAATGATGTGTCAGGAAGCTAAACTCACACAAAGCTATTTCCACTTTGATCCCATTATTTACACGTTTAAGCTCAACCATTTCCTCCTATTAGAAAGAAAACTTTAGAATGTTGAATCGAGATGATCAACCCGATTTCTCATCAGCGGTTCTTGCTGGTCTCGTCGCTCTATTGGTTCTTTTGGCGGCAGTCGTTTGGATAGCTTTTTGTCTCGCATTGCACAGAACAGCCAAAAGAATATCGGAGATTAAACGGCAACGACGAAGACAGGTAAAAGAAAATCTCTAACTTGTTAACGGTTTCTATAAGCCAGGCTAGAGTTTGATCAGTAAACCGATCCATGACTGGAGTGATTTCAAATGAACCTTTGGCTGTCCAGAAAGTCTTTTCGTTTCTTTTCCTACTTCCGTTTAAATACGTACATTTATTCACACATTTATTCAAACTAGATACAAATTACAAATTAGATACAAGATACGAATTAGATACAAATTCTACCAAATTCTATCTACTTTCACTTCTAGATCTTTCACTACCAGATTTAACACCGATAAAAGAAACAACAATTTCCTTTAACAACTTTTAAAACCCTTTAAAACCCAAAAGCTAATAAAAATCCTCTAAAGCTCTTAAAAACGAACAATTTTGGTAAAAAGATTCAATCGGAAACAAGTAGAGTTGGCAATAAAACGAAACTTTTAGGTATTGATAGCAAATGCTATCCACCATGCTCTTGCCGACAATCGTTTTGCTGGGAATCAAGCTGCCATGCCAGCCTATTTAGCTTCTTTGTCACCGACAATGACCCAACAGGTAAGGCTTAAATGGAGAAAGTTCACTAAGATACCATGAGAACAATGGTTTGAAGATGAACAATGGTTTGAAGATCAACAAAAGATGAACAATGGTTTGAAAATGAACAAATGAAGAATCACTTTGAATCTGTAAATAAACAGCTTTGAGCAGTAGTCAAAATCAGAAAGCAAAAGTCAGGAAAATTCTGAACAGAATTCTGAACAGAATTCAGAACAGAATTCAGAACAGAATTCTGAACAGAATTCAGAACAGAATTCTGAACAGAATTCAGAACAGAAATTCAGAGCCAAATCTCAAATTTCAGTTAGCCGCAGATCTGGAGCTCCGAGATCTGCCGAGCTACGAGCAAGCCGTGAGAATGGGATCTTCCCCGGTCTCACCCGTTCCCGAGCCTTCCTCGTGGGTTTCATTTTAATGCTTTTTTGTTTAATGTTTTCATTCCCCTTAACATTTCCTGCTAACTAAAAATACACAAAAACGATTTATTTCCTCCTTTTCATCCAATTCTTACAGAAAAAAGAAAGCGTCAGTCGAACGAGTGATCAGGTAGCAAAAAGCACAAAGCACAAATGGTTTGATTGTGATTTTATGTTGCAAACCAAAGTCCCTTTTCTTTACTCGTTCACTGGTGACTGGTTTCGTTTCATTTTATTTCACTATACACTTGGCTTTTTGTTGACTTTTTGAGGGAGTGGGACAAATGCTACCTTTTTTCCGCATCTTGCCCATTAGCGCACCTTTTTTCGCGTTTTAAAAAAGCTCTAAAAGCTAATATTAACCAATTTCTTTTCCAAAAGTTGTTTTTCTAGGTAATTTTAGGGCGTAGAACCGAAATTTTGGCATATCAGAGCTTGTGGAACCAATTTGAAAGACAAAACGGCTTGGTCAAATTACAGAAAATTGTTGATTTTTCTCTTTGTATAACTCCGTCCGTTCGCTTCCAATGGAACCATATTGGAACCGTATTGGATCTAAAAAGAACCGTATTCGAACCGTATTGGAACCGTATTGGAACCGTATTGGAACCGTATTGGAACCTTATCGGAACCGTATTGGAACCGTATTGGAACCTTATCGGAACCTTATCGGAACCGTATTGGAACCGTATTGGAACCCTATTGGAACCTTATTGGAACCTTATCGGAACCGTATTGGAACCCTATTGGAACCGTATTGGAACCTTATTGGAACCGTATTGGAACCGTATTGGAACCTTATCGGAACCGTATTGGAACCCTATTGGAACCGTATTGGAACCTTATCGGAACCTTATCGGAACCGTATTGGAACCGTATTGGAACCGTATTGGAACCTTATCGGAACCCTATTGGAACCTTATCGGAACCGTATTGGAACCTTATCGGAACCTGGAACCGTATTGGAACCTTATCGGAACCATATGGAACCGTATTGGAACCTTATCGGAACCTTATCGGAACCGTATTGGAACCGTATTGGAACCTAATGGGCTAAGTGCGGAAAAAAAGGTGCGCAAATGTCCGGGTGCGCAAAAAAAAGGTCGCATTTGTCCCACTCCCCTTTTTGAAAGCATTTTTTTGTTTTAAACTTTTAAATAGTCAAAACTTTGGTACTTGTGTATTATTGCGGGGGTTGAAAGTAATATATGCTTTATTTGGGGGGAAAATAAAAGCGAATCAGATAATCATGATAATCACTTACATCAATTAGGAAAAACAATTCACTGCGAAAGATGGGTTCCTCCTGAACTGACTCAAGGCTAAAAAACAACTCGTGTTATCGTTAGCTCTACTCTACTTAGAAAAGGCAAATCTCATGATTTTTTGGGATTTTTTTGTGACAAAAACCGACATTTCTTTTTCCTCAACCTAATAGCATCAGATGTCGTGGACTAATGATGACCTTCTTGTTGTCACGGCCGGCCAATTCATGGCTTCATTGCCGGCCAATTCGAGGATTTCCGCGACGATAGTTTCCGCGAAATACTCCAGCACAGCGGCGAGGCAAACGGGCGCGCTACCACCGATGCGTACTCCATATTTCGGTTCCTTATCTCTCTAAATTCGGTTCTTTGCCTCCTTAAATTCGTTTCCTTGTTATACTTAATTCGGTTCCTTATCTCTCTAAATTCGGTTCCTGATTTCTCTAAATTCGGTTTTTCATTTCTCTAAATTCGATTCTTCATTTCTTGGGCATTCGATGAATTCGTTCGACGGGGAAGACGACCCGAACTGTCCATGAATGAATGTCCATGTCCTGCGCTTGCTTCTTTCCCGATCCGCGTCCAGCCATTTCTTCTTGGTTAAAATTGTCGCTTGTCGTTGGTAATGAAGGGTGAAAGGTAGTAAAAAGCTTAATGGGACTGAAAAACTTGACTTTCCAGAACTTTCCAACTGATCTTTCCAACCAAAGGAACTTGACTTCAAATCAATTTTGAAGAAGACGGTTCGATCAAAAACAATTTTTAATGTTGTTAAATAGTATTAAATAGTATTAAATAATATTTTAATATAAAATACATCCCGACAAACTTTTTCTGACAATTTTTTTATAAGGAAAAACACCAAAAATAGCAGCGTACCGGCGTGACAGCAACTAGTACTCATTCAAGGGCTTATAAAATGAGTTTTATATTCCTAAACGGAAAACTTTTAAGACATAAATGTAGCCAAGATTAAGGGCTTTAAGATTTTATATAACACTTAACAAATTAGGGTTGAACTTAGCGCTTGGGAGCTACCAAAAAGAAGTCTACCAAAAAGAAAGTCGCCGTAAATCCAGCCTGTACACAAGAACCAAAGCTTTATGCTTAAATAAAGCTACAAACAAAGATTCAACGACTATATGTAAAACAAAATCCAAAAGGTTTATCTAAAGATTTTTCTAGAATCGCTCCGTCTCGCCGCGGCTCAGCGACAACGCCGATTCAACCTCCACCGTACACAGAAGATCCACCAATTCAAGCGAGAATAACCAGACATTCTCGATCAATTCCCACCATTTCGGGAATTGTCGACGAGACACAAGAGTCAAATGTTTAGAGAAAACACTGATCAATTTTCAATTACCGTATTTCATTGGCATCAAATAGAAAAGTGGAATGCTGGTTATTCACTTGTTGAAACATTATTGCATGTATCATTTGGAGTAGAGTGTGTTCCTCGCGAGTAATGCGTTTTTTAAAACGCACATTTGGGAAAAAATTACCGTACTCTTAGCAAAAATTATCGCAAAAAAATGACGCAAAAATGGGGGTGGGACAAATGCGCACCTTTTTTTGCTGGAAAAGGCCTTAGAAAAGGTCGTAGAGCTTCAAAAATGTTTTCATAGAAGGGTATCGTATGCGTAGATTCCGAATTTCGACAAATCACACCTCACAGACACGTCAGGTTTGGGCTAAAAGGCAAAAACTGCGGAAAAGCGTTAAGTTGCGTAGTTTTTGCCTTTTAGCTCAAATTTAACGTGTCAGCGAGGTCTGATTTGCCTTGATTTGTCGAAATTCGGAATCTACGCATACGATTCCCTAGCATGGAAACATTTTCGAAGCTCTACGACCTTTTCTAAGGCCAAAAAAAAGGTCGCATTTGTCCCACCCCCGCAAAAAAATGACGCAAAAATCACGAGCCCCGCGTTATATACGACACTTTTTAAAGATACTCAGCCGTTTAACTGATTTGGTGGGAAATTCCGTTCCAATGTAAAAAAAAGATTTTTTTTGAAAAACCTGCGCAAAAAATTGCTTTTATGTTTTTTTCACGCAGGCGCACTTTTTCGAAAACGCATTACTCGACAATTACTCATGCAAATTTACTCGAGTAATTACTTACTCGCGAGGAACACACTCTAATTTGGAGAATCAAGCAATCTTAAAACTTGGTGAAACAGTTAAATCCGTAATGAAGCTCTGAAGTAATGAAGCTCTGAAGCTTTTTCCAGCAAACTGGCCCAGCTCTTGAAATGCAAATGTTTCAACACTAATTAATCAGTAAATTCTTCAAATTTTGAAACCTCAAACTGAAACCTCGTAATGCCTCTAAGCGAAAAGCCGTATTCAAAAAGTCTACTGAAAAACTGAAGGTTTTTCCATGAAACTAGCCCATACTCTTCAAATTAGAGCTCTATTTCCCAAATTTCTAGTCATTAATTGTCATTTTTCTGTTGTATCTCTCAAATTTTATCTGTACAAATCATCATTTCCCCGTCCCATCTTGCTCTTTCAGTTCTGGTCAACACGTGGTACAATATGCCTATATTTGCATTAACACATTCACGACAAAGTCATTTTTTACTTCGGCCGCACTTGGTTTAATTAAACCCAATGAAATATCCAAAAATAGAGCAGTTTTCTTTAAAAACTACTAACGGATTCGAATTCCTTGACCCCGAAAACCCCTGGAGGAAATTTTCAGCTCAATTTGCCTCAAAAAAAAGTGCTAAATCCACCACCGGTGGCCGTGTCGCGAATGTGTTAAGGTTTAACTTTTTCATATCATTCATCCCCTCTTTTTTGAAGCTCATTTTTCCGTGACAAACCGGTGCAATTTGTTTTGTATATAGATTTTTGCAAGATTCTATATAAAGAGTTTATTGAAAGACTTGGTTAGAGTTGAAATTACATGGAACAATAAAAGAGCAAACGCACAAATCAATTTTAGTGAGCAACCGCTCGAAGACGAAGACGTCGTTGCTCCTGAAAGAAATCTGCAAATTTGCAAGACCAGCTTTGTTTTTAATTTATTTAAATCATGACTTTTAAATGCTAGATGATTCTAGTAAACTGTTGCCACCTCTGCAGAGAAATGTGCAATGATCCGAGCCGCCGCTCTCTCGACTTCTCTTTCTCGCTCGTGTTGACGTCTTTGGTATTCCAAAGTCGTTTGATAGACTCTAAAGAATTATATCAAACGGGCTGATTAGTTTAAAAACTAAAAACTTAACGAATACTGTTGAACGTTTTGAAATTTGTAAAGTTAGTAAATTCGGTAGCTACAGGGTGTCCCAAAATTTCTTATACTTTCTCCGTAAACATTTTCGACTTGAAAAACACGTGAATTTCGGAAAACTAACGCCGGATTCTAGAAATTCAGATATTTTTACCCCAATATGTTCATTTTCATAAAAAGATTTAAACTCTAAACAACTTTTTGACTAGGATTTTTTTAATTCTCTGATCGCTGAAGATTTTTACGAAAGTTGACTTAAACTTTGCAGAATGAAATTTTTTTCTCCAAAAACTGTTGTTATCATTTGATAGATCTAAGTTTTCTTTTGAAAACAAGCCACAAACGAACTTTATATCTCAAACGAAAGATTTTCAAGCGATTCTACGGAGAGCACTCAAATCTCAAAAGCAAAAAAGCGCTGTGACGACTTCCTCATCAAAAAGTTGTTTAGAGTTGCAACTTTTGTCCTTTTGCAATCCCGAACGTGAATCCTGACTGCAAATTGTGACTGTTAAAAAGGCATAGTAGAGGTAAAAGTACCAGAATTTTCATAATCCGGCGCTAGTTTTTCAAAAATAGCGTATTTTCCGAATCAAACTGTCCGGTTACAAAAAGTAAAAGAACTTTTGGGATACCCTGTACAGATCCGAAGCTTATGGTAGCCTTGTTTAGTATCCACAAATTACTCTGATTATAATATAAACTCACCTTCGAGTCCTTCCTCTAACGCTTTCTGGTGTAAATGCTCGAACTCGATTCGGATCTTCTCGAAGTACCGGAAGGGCATCTTCCAAGGGAATCAAGTCTTCAGCCAATAAAGCTGCTGTCTGAAAGAACAATATGATATGAACTATTTTTTAAAAACATAATATTAGTCAGACTATTTTGTGTTTCACTCACATGCAATTTCCTTTGATGAATCGTTTTCCTCAACATCGATGCCTGTTTGATTCGATCTTGTCTCTCAGTACAATGACGCACGAATTCCGGTCGCTTCACCAAAAGGCGTTGCTAAATTTTTGGAATAAAATGTTACGAAAAAGTGCATTCTTACCATTAAAGTCATTTGTGAAATGGGAATTGTCGGTGAGCCTGAAAGAGAAGTGAAATTTTTCTGTTAAATGTAAATGATGTAGACTTCTCTCACCTAGTCTCTCAATCACCACTTGTTCATCAGCGCTTGATGAGCTTTGATTTGGCTGCAGAATGGGAGTCTAAAGAAATTGGTAATTGCAAGAAAATTTAAGTTTCAATACCCTTCTTGCAGGAGCTGGAGATGGATCTGAAATAAAGGTATACAATTGCGCTAAATTGCAGTGAGATACCTCTTCTAATCGAAGTGATGATGAAAGTTCGATTGGGAGACTCGTGTCGACTTCTGAGCGATGGCTAAACAAGATTGAGTTACAACTCGCTAAAACTTGTTTCGTTATTATCCGATTTTGACGATTTTACTACCGTTTTTCAGCTCTCATCGAAAGCTACAAAATCGAATCAAAATTATTGCAATAGGTCCAAAAATAAGGAGATGCATAAGGAAATGGATTTTTCTTAGATTTGAACCTATTGTAATAATTTTGATTCCATTTTGTAGCTCTCGATGAGGGCTAAAAAACGGTAGTAAAATCGTCAAAATCGGACAACAAGCAAGTTATAGCAAGTGGCGGTAATGTCCCTTTGCGGAAAATGAGTTTTTTCAAGTCAAGTTTTTCTCAACGCTTCTTTCTATTAGTTTGTTTTCTCTATGCTTCTTTCTTTTACTCTTTCTTTTCAATTGAATAACTTTCATTTTAGATTAACTTCTAGTCCAAAAAAACAGCTGCGGTTTAAACTGCGACTATTTTATTATAAATTGCATTTAAAGAAATCTGCATATAATACATTTCGGTTGTCCCCCTTGCCAGAGACATTTTTCGTTTTTCTCGACGCAGGATTTATCAATTTAGCTGTTTTGGTTTCATTCGATGCGTCTAACTGTCTTCTATCCAATGAAACCAAAAACAGCCAAATTGGTAAATCTTGCGTCGAGAAATTCGCAAAATACCTCTGGCAAGGGGGAACACTCGAAATGTATACATATAAATAAATTTACATAACTTCGGTAGCCTTTTTAAAGCGCGCCCTTTAGAAAGCGCATTAATCACGAGGAACACACTCGATTAGGAAATATGCACACATTCTTTTTTTGCTGAATACACTCCAATTGCAGTTTTACCAGATTTCTGTTTCGTTTCGTCAAAAGTTTCGTTTTCATTTGACACAAAAAAGAGCTGGGTTCAGTTTCGATGAAAGCTTTTTGTGCTAACTTGGGGTCGATCCTTTTTTCACTCATAAAATTCAGCACTTCGTCACGTTTCTAGGACAAGAAACAGAACACAGAAATGTGTTAACGTGTAACACGAGGATCACACTCTAGTCCCTGTTAACGGTTTCCCAACTTAACTTGACTACAAACCAACCGCTCTTCTAATCCGGGTATTCGTGGTTTCTGTTTGCGGTCGAATAATTGGCAATCGGCCCATCGATGAAGCTTGTAGACGAGCACCTGGTGGCAAGCGAGTCGGCGACCGAGAAGGAATCACTGGGGTCGTTTGATGACTTCGTTCCGCTCTCTAAATTCTCTTGCTTAATGTAAGACTAATTGCATAGTTACGAAGTTTTTAATCTTATTATTGGTACATGCTAAATTACAGAAGGCTCTACCGGTCTGTGAATAGGTGTTGATATGAGTGGTAGATTTATCATCGTTGGCAGTACAATCTCCTCATTTCTTGTTCTTGCTACCATACTCGATCGTTCTCTTGTTTCATTGCTATTCTAAAAAGCTTTCTATGCAAACTAGAGATGAATCACTTCATTCCAAATTTCCCTGGATGCTGAAGATCGATGAGAACTCGTGATTGTTGATGAAAGACTTTGGGAAATATCTGTTGAGGCTGATTCTCTGAAAGTCACATTAAATAAACGTATTTTAAAGTATGAATAACCTTTTATGTTTTCTTGAGACTGGAGCCACTTTTCCTACAGGAGTTGGAGGACGTCGAGAGATTGATGAAGAACTGAAATGAAACATGATTGTTGATAGTCGATTGGTTATCAATTCTATCTAAAACTGTTCTTTTCTGCTATTTAATCATTGTTACCTGTTTTCATCGGAATGTGAAGAGCTCTCGAGTGCTTGAACTCGTAGCCGGAGTCGTTCAATCTCTCTCATTAGACGTGCATTCTCGCGAGTGAAAGCCTCGACTCGGCCCGAACAGATCCGACAACCACAGACGCACTAAAGAAAGAATTTTATTTGAAATAAACAATCGGATAAAGCTTTTACAAATGATTATAAGCCTTTAATCGCGTCTTACCTCCGAAATAACGCTTTGATTCTCCTTTTCCTCCTCGGTCAAATCTGGATCGGCAACTTCAACCCTATATTAAAAATAGAAATGATAAAATGATAGAAACAAACAAAAATCTTATTTTTTTCTATTAAAAAATAATAAAAAAAAACACAGACCAGAGCCTGGATTGGCTTCCGCTCGGTTGCTCGTGGGTGGATTCTCTTCGAATGGCCATCAAGAAGGAGTATCGAGGGCCGGAAGTGCGATTATCCACAAATACTCCGGAAACTCCTTTAAAAAGCAGTATATTTTAAAAAACGTAAAAAAGATATTTGAGTATAAAGAAGCAAAAATGATACGAGTTGATCAAAGTAAAGCAAAATGATGGCAAAACGGCAATAAAATGGCAAAATATTAGGCTGCCCAGAAAATCTTGTCGTTCCTTTTCATACTTTCGTTGAAAAATAACAAATTCATCAATTAATCTATGATTTGCTAGTGTTTCTTGTTCAATTTCTCATCTTTTTATGTCAATTTGGCCAATTTAACTCAATTGAGTCACTTTCAAGCAAATTCGAGAGTGATAAACGTGTTTTTCGTAAAAATCTATAAAAACCTCTACGAAGAGATTGGCTGAATGAATTTCTCTGAAAATTTGGCTGTAGACCTAACTTTTTATGCTTTATCTTTTATCTATTGACACCAAAATAGGTTTCTTTAGCTAAAGTGTGCCTTTCTAAAGTTAAAGTGGCCGCATCATCAAGTCGTCGCTCTTCTTGACTACCCGACTTCAAGCTCCCAAAAAAAACCTCGGTCTTTAGACATTTTAAATCTGCTTTAATACTATTTTGCAGAAAAATAATTAGCCTTTCTAGTGAAAAAAAATCGTAGTTCAATTGGTGCATTTGTTGGTTTTAAATGGAAGAACGAAAAGAAACGAAAAGACTTTCTTCACAGTCTAATACGAAGCAAACTGATTAGAGTAAAGAGCAGAAATTTGGCTTGATTTTGGAGTCATCGACTCAGATCTATTTGGCAGATTCGAAGTTAAAATTTCCGAAGTAGTTAGCAACCATTTAACCATACCAATACCTTTTTCTAAAATAATTAGACACAAAACCCCAAGAACCCCAAGAGAATCGCACCGATTTGATTTGGTAGATTTTATGCCTTTTAGTTGAAAGAGAATTGGTTAAGCTAAGTTTATACGACACGTACAAAAAGATTCGAAGACAATGGAGTAGAAAGGAGCCGAGAGAAACGAAACAAAAACATTTTAGAAATTTAAACAAGAAACATGGGTAGAAAAATATAAAAAGGAGGGAACGAACGAGGGGAGAGCGAGTACTTTAAAAACGCACTACAAGAACATAATAAATTTTGCGAAGGCGGAAGAAAACTTAGCGGGATAGAAGCCGGACAACATTTAGGATTCCACCACGGAATGCCGAAAAATGAAAAGAATAGTAAAAGAGAAATGCAGGGTACAGTAGCGTATCCACGCTTAAGAAAGCGCGCCGCGCCGCTTTCACGCCAGTCACTTTAAACCGCACGTAAATAGGATTCTAACTAAGTGAAAAGATTCAGTTGTCAACTAAAATAGCCTATAACTTAAGCATAAAGCCGGCATAAATTTCCATTGATGCTACATGTTTAAAACATTTAGTGCTTTTACAAAAACGATCAAAATTAGCTTAATCTATTGTAAATCGAAAGTAAAAGTGCTTATTTTGCATAAAGATAGAAATGAAGAGAGAGCATAGAGGAGAAGAAAAGAAAAAGGCGCGCAGTGACCTCAACGGTGCAGGCAAACATGCGGTCGATATTAGGGGAGACAGAAATGGTATGCGCTACCCCTTTCCCTTTTCACAAGCACCACTTTCTACCACCAAAAGGCTGGTGGTTACCATGCCAAATCAGATGGCTCTCTACTGCAACAATTTCTCTTCTTTCGGTTGGCTTTTAATTGCATGTAAAGCTTCTCAAGTCTTGATTGCCTAAAGTATGATAGCTTTCAGACTATGAATAGTCTGAAAGCAAGATGATAACGAGCAAGATTTGATGCTTAAACTTGGAAAAATTGTTGTAATTGAGTTAAAAAGTTACATCTTGAGTCAAAAAAACTAGCTTTAGTTAAGCCAGTCAGCCTTAAAGCGAGCTTTAGTTAAGTCAGCCAGTTTTAAAGCGAGCTTTAGTTTATTTTTGAAGGTAAAAGTTAGAAGTTAGACGTTAAGTTAGGTAAAAATTTGAAATAATGCAGTTTAAATTGTTGGATTTAGAATTTGCTTATTTAATTCTAACTATAAAACGAAAACTATTGGTACAAATGTGTTATTGTGGCTTTAGAATGACCATTTTTCATCTTGGTATCAATTTAAAGCAATTTTGACTCACAATTTTGTCAATTACAATTAGCCAATTATTCGATTTGCCTAAACCCCTTCTTCCCCGTTCCACACAAATTCTGCACAAGAAAAAAGAAGATATATAAGTCCAAGTGCTTTTTACCACAAAGAAACACGAGTCTTATCAATGTTTTCCTATCAATGCGGCTTCCCGCCGCAAACTGGATTTGAAAAAAACAGATGGAAAGCAGTGAAAGGGGTGCTTTTTAACGGTGGTTCTTTCTTTTCTCTGTGTGACTTCAGCGTGGCGTTTGCGTTGCGCAGAGGACTGCTCGTTTTTTGTGCAAAAGGTCTGCAGACCTACATGTTTTCTTTCTTTGTTTCATTGGTGAGACTGTCTTTTTAGGTTTATGAGCTATTAGTCATGAAAGAAGAGTCATTAGCCTCGTTGACTCGACTCTTATCAATTGTCGGGATCAAAATAATGTTGAAAGCTTGCATTTTTGAAATTCTTGAGTTTGTGAGGAACTTTTTTTTGTTGATGTTTTGGGGAATTTACAAGGCTCGAGAGAATTCGGCTTCGTTTTTGCACGTCTCATGTCACTTTTGCTTGTGCAACCTACATTCAAATCTTTCCTTGATTCGATTTCTTCCAAAAAACATACCATTGCATCAATCAACGCGCATATTATTCGTTGGCTCGTGTTGTTCTGTCGGGGTCTTGTGGGAAAGGGATGGTCAAACACACACACCACCACCACGCCGAAGAGCCTTCTTCTATCATAACCAGAGCGCACTTGGCTAGCCGCTCGTCACGCGTCCCTGCTAGCTTTTATTCTATTCCTTTTTCACCCAAACACCCTTACATTCCCCTATCTGGGAACCAATACATCATTGGCCGGTTGTTTGGGTTTTATTGAACCTTAAAAAACTATTTTTGAGATCAAACATTTGAATTTGTTGATTGCACGTTTTGCAATATCACTACGTCACTATTTAAAGTCATTTTTAGCTTTTTGCTTTTTAGCTTTTTGAAACAAACACTTTCTAAATTAAAATTGAATTAAAATGTCATTCCCTTTCGTTGAAATCCAATCTTAAGTCTATTTTTCCCTCGATTGACTCACTGAAAATTCCGGTCTCAAGCACTTCTTGTCCATTTTTTACTCTTGAAATAGAGCCCATACGAGCGCACTCAAATATCCGAATTGAGCATCGAGTTGCATATTGAAGGCAAAAAGGGGCGGCTAGTATCTCCTAGGGCAGAAAGGGGTCACTCTCCCATCCAATTCGACCACCGCTTCCCTTTTTATCTTCACAATTTGCCGACACAGGAACTTATCACTCGGTGTCATCGCTCATAATTTTTCGATTATTGATCCTAGGGGAATGTGAGAATTGGCAAAAAGGGGTGGTAGTCAGAAAAAACGTTGGTCTTTGTTGAAAATGTTCAATGTTTTCCTTCTCTATTGGAATTTTTGATTTCTACGAAAAATTTGGCACCTGATGTTATTCAATTTGCTAATATTTTTATTTTTGTCAATGAAAGTATGGAAACGATAGTCAAATCATTTGCCACATTTTCTTTTTGTCCCTGATGAGCCATAGATTTCAATTTCCCTTGTTCACATGCCTATCTTTTGAATTTCCCTGCATCTTTTGCCAAAATAGAGCACTTGAATCGACCATCTGACTCAGCTGTGTGTGACGATGTGGTTTGGCTGGCCGGCGGTGGTCAATGATTTCCTTGTTCATTGCTGATATCGATTTTCTGTTGCTCTTTTCAGTTTCCCTCTTCCCGTTACTTCATCTTTAGAAATCAGTGAACTTTTCTTGCTTGCTTAAACTTTATACGCTTATGCTTTTGTGTTCTTTATTTTTTCAACTAAATGTTTTTGCTTCAGATTCGGGTTCATGTTAATTACCAGATGAGCCTGTTTGGTAAATTCAAGAACCTTTTCAAAGGGTCACAACAGGACAGTTTCAAGACACCGCTTCCGGCAATTATACAAGTTTGTTTTGCATTATTGAAACTTTTGAATTGAAACATTTATTGTGATTTTTTACATTTAGAATAATGTCGATCCCCGTGACACATGGCAAATCATCGGTGAATTGGGAGATGGCGCCTTTGGAAAAGTCGAGAAAGTTGTGAACAAAAGCGAACCTAATCTTTTTGCCGCTGAAAAAGTTAGTTCTCAATTTATGTTTTTACGCAGTGACTTTGAATCCTAATAATTAAGTATTTTTAGTGCATCGAAGTTCAAGATGGCGAAGAGCTCGAGGATTTTCTGGTCGAAATCGAGATTCTAACGGCGTGCAAACACGAAAACATCGTTTCACTTTTTGCGTGTTACTTCTTCGATCAAAAACTGCATGTACGTTTAATTTTCCACGGAAAAAGTTAAACTTTGATTATTTTAGATGATGCTTGAGTTATGTAGTGGAGGTGCGGTTGATGATATCATGATTGAACTCGAGAAGCCGCTCACCGAGTCACAAATTGCCTACATTGCTAGGTAAATCTCAGCAACATTTAACATTTTGTACGCGTCATTTTAGAAACTGTTGCGAAGCACTTCGGTTTCTACATCAAAATAATGTGATACATCGTGATTTGAAGGCGGGAAACATCTTGTTGACTCATACCGCGACAGTTAAATTGGGTAATTTTTGCTTATATTTGGTAATTGGGCAACTGCTTATGGTAATTTTTCCTTTTAGCTGATTTTGGAGTTTCTGCGAAATTGAAAGATCGAAACGAAAGAAGAGACACTTTCATCGGAACGCCTTACTGGTTTGTATTTAAATTTGTTATGTTTTAACGTGGACTCAATTTAGGATGGCACCAGAAGTGATGATGTGTGAAACATTCAAAGATCAGCCATATGACGTTCGATCCGATATTTGGTCATTTGGAATCACGTTGATTGAAATGGCGCAAATGGAGCCTCCGAATAGCAACGTAATTTTTGATTCGCAATTGAATATCTATTTTTTTATTTCAGGTTTCACCGATGCGTGTCCTCATCAAGGTTCAAAAAAGCGAGCCGCCAACTTTGGAAAATCCGAATGCATGGAGCCTTTACTTCAACGATTTCCTAAAGCAATGTCTCATGAAGGATCCAAACAATCGTCCATTGGCTGAAGAACTAAAATCGGTGAGTGTTTGCAATGGTTTTTTTAAAAAGGCTTGTTTTAGCATCCATTCTTGAAATCGGGCACAGATCGACGATCGGTGTTAGCGCTTTTGGCCGAGATGAAAGCAGAAGTAAAACAAGTAGAGGTCATGGACGACAATCAAAGTGTTGACGAAAGTGTTGCTGATTCCGAAGATACAGGTAATGATTGCAAAGAAATAAGGAAAAAATTGTTTGTTAATATGGAATTATTCGTAAGTGACATATCATCCTGATGATTTATTGAAGATATAAGACTGCATCTTTTTGCGATGCAATAACTCCAGAAAATTGTTAACATTAAACTAATTTAGATGAACGCACTTCGGCTGTTTGGAACGAATCGGATGTCTCACTGATATCGAGGAAACATCGGCCCGCTCCCCCACCACCACAACCACAAGCTCCGAAGATCTTGATACCCCAGCCTCAACCCGTTCAGCAGAAACCAAGGTTAAATTTTCTTTGCCAACGTGTACAAATTATTCTTATAGGGCTCCATCTCCGCCACCTGATCGGTATTTTTTAAAACAAATTACAAGCACTTTCAAAGCATTCTTAGTTAAGCAGACCCAATTATTTCGTGATTGCACATACGTTTTCGAAATTGTTTCCTCGCAAAAGTATCCGCCAAATTAAGACTTCACTTATAGAGAAACCGCTCCTGTCAAAAATGAAGAAGGCGATACAATCTTTGCATCGGTGTCTGAAATTCCAACAGACTCAAAAGCTTTTGAAGATGCTATTGAAAATTCCGTAGCTACAAATACCACCGAAGATTCTTTATCTCAACAAGATAATGTTTCTACTACCACACAGACTAGCGAATCTGCATCATTGTTCAAATCAGCTCTAGCTGATATTATAATCGAAGAGAGAAATGTTGAATCTTCTATGGAAATCAATAAACCGGAAGAAATATCGGCATCGGATATCATAATTCCACTAGCAACTTCTCTCACCTTCATAGAAAGCATAAAAATCTCATCGGAACCATCAGAGTATGTCGTGTGAATGCATTTTGCACCCCTAACCAAGCTTTTGCTCGCGTTTTCCCCGTTTAAGCACACGAATGTAACCATTATTACCCATTAATCAAAGATAATATTACCAATCTATTGTTTTTATTCAGACAGCCCATGCAACCGCAATTGTCGAAGAATGGTCTCTCTTCGGGAGAAGAGCACACGGCTCGGGTCGAGAAGTTCCCCGCACCACCGCCACCGAAGAGTTCATCAAGGGAGAGGTCGACCAATGGACAGCGTAAGTGCACCACAATAAAAAGAAGTTCGGACTTTCTGATCTCAACTCGGCCACTTTGGGTTTGCAATTCTTTTGCGTAGTGCTGAAATCGTTGCAAATTAATTTTCATATTTAGATGTTGATGAACCACGCCTACTCAGCCCTGGCCAAGAAGCGATGAATGTATTGGAGGACTTGAATGTGCTACTCGACAAAGACACCAATGGAAAAAGTATTTTTCTTCTTATTTTATTCTTATTAATTTATTCTTAGGCGATTCGGGGTCAATTGGTCAAGCTTCGCCCAGGAAAATGCCGCCGCCAACAGTTCATGAACGAAAATCTCATGGCAGTCATGTTGTGCATTCACCGGAGCCCACTCGACTCATTAAAACAGGTTCGCTTTTTACACAAACTATTCTACAGATGTTTATTTTGAGTACAATCACGATTATTTTAGTTGTGGATAATGCAAGACACTCTGTCCCGTCGCCCGTTCTATTAACACAGCCACAAGTTCGAGCCGCTTACAGTGAAGAGTCTATGCATAAACGATCATCTGAAAGCGTGAATGCCGATAGCAAAAGCATTACCAAGGTAAAAAGAACGTTTTGTTCTAGCTAATAATTGTCATTTTAGTCCGAATCAGCACAGAGTGTAAATAAAAACTTTGCCAATATTATTCGGGTTAGAATGGATGTCAATGATAACGAGTCGGAGAAACGGGCATCTGCTGTGAATGATTTGAGGTGCAGTTAAAATTTTAGTGCATAAGACTTTCTTTTTCTTTAGGAATCGTTTTGAAACCACGTCGAACGAGTCAGGCACCAGTTCACCGTCGATTTCAATTCCAGAGGGACATGTGCAAAATAAAATCAAGCAGGTTATTCATGAACAGGTGTGTTTTTATGTAGGCAAGACACAATGCAAAAACTTGCTGAAGCTAGAGTTATTAACATCTGAAGCAATAACATTTTTAGCAATCACAAGAGTCGGGACAAAGCGCTGAAAAAATCAAATCGAAAAGAAGAGAAGCGGATGCGATTTTGTTCCAGGTTAAAAAGATCATTGTCAGTCCAATTTTTTATGTTAGACTCAGCCGGCAGTTTCGAAGATTGCTGAATCGTTTGAGCATATCAAACCGGAAGGAGATGTTGTTTTCACGCCCAAGTTTGCAACACAGAAACATGATTAGTAATTTATGATTTTAGAGTCCCTGTTCCTGTGCAAAATGGTGTCCATCGCAAGGAATCTAGTCAATCATCAAACGGGTCTGCAAAACAAGCGAGCTCGACTCAACGATCAAATGCGAATTTTGAACAAAAACCCTCAACAACAAATGTTCCCCATTACGAAGATGATGATTACGTGAGTGTTTGGGCATTTTGCAATCTTTTGAGTCAGTAAATGGAGCTATTTCTAGGTTCAAAGTTTATTGTCACGTCTCTTTCATGACATTGACAATATGAGTGTGAGTTTAGTGACCTCTTCTGGAGGCTTTTCCTTAAACTATACCCTTTTTCTATTTTATTTTGATTGCGAACTTTTAAAGTACCAGCTTGAGTTTTTGATTTGGTGGGTATAATCCAAATCTAAACTATTTTATTGATTTAGTTTGCTGAAGACAAACGAGAGCTTGCGGGATCGATGCCACCACCAGAACCTCCAGTTGATTACCATCGAGAAAGGAGTGAAAGAAAAGCGAGAAGTGCGAGCAAAGGTAACTTTTGATGTGCAATGTATCTTAATCATTAATATTTAGAAAACCAACAACCAAGCCCGATTTCTGTTTCTTCATCGACGATTGAGGCCACAGAAGTGAAAAGAAGATTGTCTCCAACGGTAAGCTTTGCTCTTTTTAACATCATATTTGGTTCTGGTAAACTTTCGACCCATCATAGGTATTTATTTTTTTAGATAGAGCAACAACCAGAACCGACAGCTTTGGCTCCTATATCAACAAACGGACACATCAGGAGAAGAAACCCAAATCGGCAGACGGTCACGAAAAAGACGAGAACCTATATGGTGGATGGTGTCGAAGTGACTTCAACAACTCTACATGTTATGGGGAAACAACAAAATTTGCAGCTAAAGTAAGCGAATTTAGAAGTGTTAAAGCTTATCGTTTTGCTTTCAGGCGTCAAGAAATGCAAGAGTTAAAAAGGTTACAAAGAGAAGAGGGTCGACAACTTCAAGAACTTGAGGCACAAGGCTCGCATCTAAATGAACAGCAGGAGAAGAAGCAACAACAAGAAAAATCGGTATGTGTTCTCTACACAGTACTTTGGAATAAAGTACGTTATTTATAGGCTCTTCAACGGCAGTTTGAACTTGATTTGGAGGCTTTGAATCGGAAGCAGAAGAAAGAAATTGAAGAAGCCGAACGAATGCAAGATGAAGAACTGCGATCTGCGTCAAAAAGATTGAAATACGAACAAGTCCGTTGTCTAGTTTATCTTTAACAATTTCATGATTTTTAGGAAAAAGATATCACAGCATTTCGAGAACGGCTTCGACAAGAGTTGAAGATTGTGAAACAAGAAGTCGAGATGCTGCCGAAAACGCAAAGAAAGGAGGCGCTCAAGATGCGAAAAGATCAAGCGGAGGCTCAAAATAGGATGAAGGTTTATCAGTTTTTAACTCAAAATTTAATTGGCATTTCTAGGAGCAAGAATTCGGGCAACAACTGATGATCAATGCAAATACAACTCTTGCGAGGATGCAGCAAAAACACAAAGAAAAGATCGCCAGCCTAGAACGTCAATTTATTTTGCAAAGACATATGCTGCTGCGAGGAAAAGAAAGTGCTGAGTGGGAACTTGAAGAGCGTGTCATGAGCGAAAGGTTTGTCTAAACATTCTAGGTTTCCTATTAATGTAACTTTAGGTATGTACTGCATCGGAAGTTATTCAAGGATAGATTCTTCCTTCTGCGCACTCAAATGCTGTCGAGGCAACAAAAAGAGATGTCACAAATGCAGAGAATACACCAAATGGAGGAAGATGAACTTATTCGGTGAGTTTTTACAATTAATGCTTGCTTGTAATGTAGAACTATATGTGATTATGAATGAATTTAGTGCGCTTCAACTCGATCGAAAGAGATTACCAAAAATGTTGCGCTCTGAGGCTAAGACAAGAAGCATGATGTTTAAAGAATCGCTGCGGATAAGTCTTCAGGTAGATTTTTAAATCTTTATTACCTTGAATTAGGCTATTTCCCTAATTAACTTGGTTTTAGGCTTTTTGGAGCAAGGAAGCGGTAAATTTAAATTCTTGTTTAGTCCATTATGTTATACCCATTTTAGTTTGGACTTTCTTAGCTGGAAACTTTCGTCTATATAGTGGCTTCTTTAGGCTGAATCCCAAGCTGAATTACAAGACAGAATGCGACGTTTCGAGGAGACGGAGAAATCAAGAATAAACAATGCGCTCAAGGAACACGATCAGAAAAGTCAACGAAAAGTACAGCTGCTAAAAGAGCGACATTTAGCCGAGGTTTGTGTTTAAACATTATTTTGGCAAAAATGAATTACATGAGATTTTTTAGATACAAGAACTCGATGAGGCACAAAACGACAATCGAAAGTTGCTTCTCGAGAGAGAACACGCGACGATGGCTGAACACGAGCGAAAATATGCGGCGACTAGAGAACAATGGCATCGAGAGCTGGCCCCAAAAAAAATGGTGCGTTCGTTAAACTTTGTTTTAAAAATAAAGCAGACTAATAACTAGCCACAATTTTTGTTTAAAATTTTGGTCAATCAAACGTTTTTAGAATTTTTTATAAGTTCCATTGATATATTAATTTTAGGATCTCGAGCAGAAATTTCAAGAAGAACTCGAATCGCAAGAGCAATTTTATGGAATCTCGCTGGGTGGCGGAGGAAGTTTGAATGGCACGATCAGCTCGACTTCAATGCTTCCGGCTCACATGTACCCATAGTTCAATTTCTACACGCACGTTAGTCGTCTTTTTGTTTTGGGCATCAAACTACTTATTTGCAACTTCTTATTGTTAAACTATTTTCCGAGATCCCGGTTTCTTCTTTTGTTGAGTCACGAGAAGTTTTATCATTCATATTGTTTATCAAAGAGATCAAGCGTGAATGTGCATTACAGATTATCTTCTTACTTGTACTTGTATTTATGTTTAAACCTTTTTAATATATAAATTTATTTATCTTTTTTAGGGGCACATTACATATACACATCAATAGGAGATCTATTTTTGTTGCTTTCTGAAGACGGCTACTTTATTTGATTTCATTGTGATCTACGACTATGTGTCTTGTTCTTTTTTCTCTTCTCGCTCTGTGAACATGTTGACGGTTTGCTTTCACTTAAGTGTTTTCGGGGGTTTTATTCTATCGCCTTATTCTTTTCCCTCATCTCTCGTTGATATATTCTTTGATACGAAATGCTCAGCGTCAGTTATTTCTCGTGTACTTTTTGTGTCTAAAATATTCTTTTTCTTCTGCAATTTTATCCCTAATTCGTCGTTTTTATTTGTTTACTTGTAAATTGCCTAATAAATTATATTTAATTTGGCAAGATATGTGTGATTAAATTACACTTTTTCGCAGTAATGAGGAGCTGTTCATATTTAATTAGGTCAGTAAACTGGCAGCGTTGGAGGGGTGTCGTTTAAATTCTATTGCGAAATGTCTATGATGGTCACTTTTCGACTCCAACGGAATAAGAGGCCTTGATTCGAGGTCATTCGCCTTCTTTTCCCACGGGGTTGGTCCACGCTTTAGAGCTAAAGAGATTCTCTTTCGTTTTATGCACCACATTGATCGTAGCCTTCTTTCCATCCCGTTTCTCTCCCCTTATGCATTTTGATGCATAATCGACTCGACTCAAGTTGCTCATCTCCTTGATCCTTGCACTTTAGTTTTTGAGAAAAATGTGTGAGTCATACTTTTTGCTGATCGCGTATCCATTTTCTTACGACCTTGACCTCTATTAGACCTTTCTGTTGGTGATCAACTCTTGCTTTTCCCAAAATTGATGATTTTCTACTAACCAATTCATTTATTGGAATCATTACCAGAAGCGGATGCTAAAAGCTATATAAGAAAATTGTTTTATCAAGTTTCGGCAAAGGTTTTGACGGAAAATGCTTAGTCACCGCGAAGATAATAGATAATGATAGTTTTTGGAAGCGGGTTTCTTCGCAAAACTGTGACTCATAGATTAATGAGATCATTTATCGGAGATAAAATTATTTAAGCTGACAATTTGTATGGTTTTTAAGATGCCTGATTTCGTTAAGTAAGATATTGGGCAAAGTTTTATGAAAGTGTTGAACAATCCTGCCACTTATGTTTCCAATTTGATCACTTGAGTGGCCTTTCGACGCTCAGCTGATCAACCACCCCAGTTTTCAACTTTTTGACACTACACATAATTCAACATTTGTAGAGTCCGGTTCCAGTGTATCGACAACACAGACGCACACATGTGTGCTGGTTGTGTATCGCTTTCTCTCTTATTTTCTCTCTGTTACAGCCCATCTCTTTCCTCTCCCCGAAATTTCCCACCTTTCAACCCTCGTGTTTTCCCCATTTTTCTGTATTCCTCTTGCTTTCCAGCGCATTTCTCCTCATCTTTTTCTGTGAGTTGTCGCCTGTCACAGCTCGCTCTTGTCCCTCTATCCAATTCCCCTGATTCGACCAAAAATGGTCTCCATTGGGTCATCAATTTTTCTTTTACCATATGGATTGCTAATTTTAAATTTCGAAAGGAAATAGCGGTATTTTTTTTACTTTTTGGATCATTAATCAGCCCAGTCGGTCTGATATTTTTGACATAAAAATACTTTGATCATTTCCAAACCCCAACATTTTCCAGACTGATTCTGTAACTTAATGAGTTTTTTCTCAGGTTTTTTCTTCTGTGCTTTTTTTTTATTGATCAACAATTGACCTTCAGCAAAAACCCGTTTTCTTTAGATGAACCTCGCACAGACGGATGTGATTCAGCGAGAGATTTTGCAACTTGACACGAGGATCAAGGCCCGAATAGCCGAAATTCCCAACAAGGCCCACTCCGATCAAGATCTACAGGTTGAAATTCGTGCCGTCAAGGAGTCGAACAAGGAGTTGAACGCGAAAATCGAACGGCTCTCTCAATTGAAGATCTCGAAAGCGAGGATTGTCGGAGAGAAGCAAGATATCGAGAAAGAGATCACCGGACACCGATCTGAGGCCGAGTTTAACGCAAATGAGCTAAATCGAGTCGCCCGAGCGACAAAGCAACGAATTGCTGAAAAGGGCAAGGAATATTTGTTGGCGAGTTTTGAATTGGAGACCGAGATGAGACATCGACGACACGAGCAAGAAAATTTACAAGACAGTGCGGCTAGAGCCACGGAGAGACTCTCGAATTTGGTGTCAAAGATGGGTGAACGAGTGCAATTGGCTGAGAATCATCTGGTCGGTTTGGTCGATTCGAGTTCGTTGATTTCGAAGACGGGAGATGAATTCACCGCTCAAGCTAGCCATATCAAGACCGGGAACAAATTATTGTCGAAATTCGAGCGTCGCGAGCTGACCGATAAAATTCTCATCTTTATAGCCGTTTGTTTCTATTTAGCCACTCTTTATTACATTTTGCACAAACGATTCTTGTCTAGGTTTGCGCTTTGGTGACTTTGTGTTTCTTTTTAAGATACGGGTATTTATGGGTTTAGTTACTACTATTGGCTGTATTATATTTGGTTGTAAATTGTGATTGGTTCTCTTTTATTAGGGTTTTTGGAAATTTATGCAGTTTAACAGATAAAAATTTAGATGCGAAGGTGTTAATGATGTTTGGGACACCGTGTAACGCGACATTATCGAGAGTGGTTGGGGACGAGCTGGTTCCATTGACTTCCACGTCTTTGGTGTTGAATGCAGCAACATCTTCAGCAACTTCACCACTAGTGATTGTTATTTCTGATGGAAATCAAGAAGAGATTGAACGATTTCGGTTCATTCCGGCAAAGTGAGTACATAGAAAACGCTAGTTTTATGGACTAAAAAGAACAAAAACAAAAGAACAATCTTTTTTTAACATACGAACTTTTAGGGATGTTTTGATTGGATCATCACCTGGATTGAGCTTCGAGGTAATTGAGCTCAAATTATCTAAATTCAAAAATCTTTAGACTTGGTGCCATTTTCAATCAATTTCAAAGACGGGTCGGAGTTCTCTCGCTGCTTGTAGCCAAGACGAGATTTCAGGTATTGTGAGTAAAGCAAAAATAAAATGAGAACATTTTCCAGGCATTCTTTTGATTCAAGACCATTTTTATACGATTCGAGTTGTCGGTGAAAGAGTTTTGATTGTGCCAAAAGAAGGAGATACTTGTGGTAATGACAGTAAAAACGAATATTGAACAAATGATTTCCAGAATTTAATCGTCGCTCAAAACGTGCCATTCGTGCTCAAAACGGGTTGCCCGATTACTATAAGCCGTATCTTGGATGGAATACGAGATACCTAGAATTGGCGTTGTTTGCTGATAAATCAATGGTAATTTAGCACGAATATTTTATAGAGTAAAATTTGAAATGCAACTCTCAGCGAAAACTTTAACCAAACACAAATTTAGTACGACCATTACAAGGATAAGACCTCGGATCGCTTAAAAACCATTGCCGTGCATGTGAATTCGGTTTGTGAAAAAGAAATTCAATTCAATTTGCATTAAAAAATCCAATTCAGCTGTATTCTCCTCTCAAAATCGATGTAAAACTGATCTATCAAGAGATTTGGACTGATGAGAACAAAATTAAACTCGAAGAAAACGGTGACAAGACCCTCGAATTGTTCTCGGCATACCGAAAACTTGTGCTCTCCGAGAAACCGAATGATAATGCTCATTTATTAACGTAAGTAGCAGATAAAATGCTTGAAACTATTCAATCGTTTACAGAAGAATCAAATTCGAAGAAGGAGTTGTTGGGAAAGCATATAAAGGAACGATGTGCGCTTTGGATTACTCGGCTGGGGTTGATGTGGTGGGTGATTTAATGTAGAAAAGTTATTAAAAGATGCTTTGATTTATGGGAAACTAGGCTAAATTGATCAAAAAGCATTGAGTAGGTGAAATGTGGATCGAAATTAAGGCATAGAGGAGATTGATCACTCTCTTCCTCTTTCCATCCTCCTCTCCGCCCTTCCCTTCATCTTTTTCAATTTTTAAAATCAAATTTGGCAAAGAAAGAGGATCCGAGCGGAATCGAACTCACGTTGCTCCGCTTACTTGCTTACCAGACACTTTACCACTGAGCTAAAGGCGCTCATTGCTCTGGTGAGAAATGATGGTATAGCAAGAGAAAAGCCTAGGCGCTCTCTTAAGTCCTTATCCAAAAGAATAAGTGTAGCAAAGTAAAGCGATCTTTTATAAGATAATTTAATTAATCGAAAGATGACAGTCATAACACTTTAAAGCTCCTTGAAAGCTCCTTTAAAGCTCCTTTTAAGCTCCTTTAAAGCTCCTTTATAGTTCCTATTGATTTCCTTTAAAGCTCCTATCATAATGATACTTTAAGAGAATTTCAGGATCACCAAGACAATGCAGCTCTCGTCGCTGCCACTGTCGCTCACGAGATGGGACACAATTTCGGAATGGGTCACGATCCAATCGATGAACCCGACGTGTGCAAATGCAAAAACGAGCACTGTTTAATGCATCCGACAGCTGGGTTTGTGCAAAGAGTGTGATACTGAACTGTACTTGTACAATTATTCGTTAAAACTCTAAATGTGATTTTAAGATGGGACTACCCGGCGTATTGGTCGGATTGCTCGCTGAAACAACTCGAGAACGCGCTCAACCGCGGTGTCGACTTTTGTTTGAGGAATGAACCTGGAACCACTGTAACAGATGAAAGTAAGTTTAAAAAAAGCCATTTTTTTTTGAATTGCCACCAAAAATCCTCTTTGAAACCTCTTGGAAACTTCTAATATGAAACTTTTACTCAAATTTAACATTTTTGAAGCTCTACGACCTTTCCTAAGGCCTTTTCCAGCAAAAAAAGGTAGCATTTGTCCCACCCCCCTTTTCATTCCAAACTTGCCCAGCTAATTTTAGCTGTGAAAGCTTGGGAACTGTAAAATAGTGACCAACCCGGCTCGCCCGGGTGCACTACTAATAGAGAAAATACGGTAACAAAAAATTGTATTCTATGAGTTGCTCTAATGTTAAAAATTTGTTGCAAAAGAATTGATTAGACAGAAATAATAGAAATTTGATTTTAGATTTGATTTGATTTTAGATTTGATTTGATTTGAGATTTGATTTGATTTGATTTCATTTGAGAAAGCGTTTCTAAACAACTCCGTTAAAGATGGCAGTGTTTTGAAGAAAAGAAAGCCGGCTAGAGCTCATTTGCAAGCTTGGTCTTGAAGCTTGAAGCTTGAATCGAATTTTCGAATTTGAAAGTTTCACAATAGATAAATGTAGTCAAGATTTAGGGCTTCAATTCTCTACAAAGTCGACAAAATTCTATTATAAAATGATCAAAAATCATATCATTTTATACTTGCAGCATTTTCATTCAATTCTTTCAATTCTTTCAACTCTTTCAATTCATTCAATTCTTTCGATTCATTCAATTCTTTCGATTCATTCAATTCATACATTTAGATCGATGTGGTAATGGAGTTGTTGATCCTGGAGAACAATGCGATTGTGGAGCTGAAGTTAGTGAATTTATGAGCTGAATATCTTCATATACATATTGATTAAATCCAAAATATGGGCTAGACTAATTTCCGCGATTTTTTTTGGGTAAAAGGGTCATTTGCGCAACTCGCCATAACTTTCTTCTAAGTGAACCAATCTTTATGCTTTTGGTTTCATTTTGTTGCACTTATTGAGATCTACAGAATTGAGCCTGTTGCACTTATTGAGATCTAAAAATGATCTACAAAATGAAACCAAAAGCATAAAGATTGGTCCACTTAGAAGAAAGTTATGGCGAGGTGCGCAAAGGACCCAATTGCGCAAATGACCCTATTGCGCCAAAAATTGCGAAAATTAGCCTACCTTCAAAATATTGATTAAATTGAGGATTTAAACAAATTTGTTTCTCTTTCTAGGTTTGTCCCTACGATTGTTGTGATGGGAAGACGTGCAAGTTGCGGGAAGGAGCCGAATGCGGAGCTGGATCGTGCTGTGATTTGGCCACGTGTAAGGTGGGGAAAAATTGAAACGCTTTGAAAATGAAAACTTTAAATAGAACAGTTTTTGTTCAAAAGATTTGATAAACAAAAAACCTGATAAACATGGGTCATTTGATCATTTTTTTTTGATGGCAACTTGTAACAGGTGTGGAAGGGATTGTTTTCTCTTTCTTCTCCTTGTATTCCCTTCTTCTTCTGTGCCGAAATGATACCAGATAGCTGAGTGGTTAGAGCATCTGGCCGGCTAGAGCCGGGTCAAGGTCGAGGGTTCAATCCCCACCCCGGAAATCTTTCTTTGCCATTTCTTACCTTACTTTACTATCTCCAGAATGCTCGTTTTCCTTTACGTTTTCCGAGTACAGGATCGGCAGAATTATGGAAACTTAAGTTAGTTGAAATTAATTTAAGTTAATCAGCCTAACTCCGTTCTGAATGCCCTCGTTCTCTTTCTGAATGCTCTCGTTCTCGTTCTGAATGCTCTCGTTCTCTTTCTGAATGCTCTCGTTCTCTTTCTGAATGCTCTCGTTCTCGTTCTGAATGCTCTCGTTCTCTTTCTGAATGCTCTCGTTCTCTTTCTGAATGCTCTCGTTCTCGTTCTGAATGCTCTCGTTCTCGTTCTCAATGCCTTAAATCAAATAATCCCTTTTTCCTAGTGCATTCTGAGTTATTTCCTCTAGGAAAAAAATTATTGAACAAAGGTAACTGTTTCCTAAAAGTTCTGATACTTATTCAAAGTGCCCAAGTCGAGAATCCCCAGTCGAATGATGATATTTCACGATTTTCGTTAGATAGAAATTTTCGCAAGAAAAGAACCCTTTCTTTGATTCAATTTCAATGTTTTTTTTGACTATTTCTTGAACATTTTCATGTTTTTGAGCATTAGCAATCATAAAAAGAATCTTAGAACGATTCATAGTGGTTTGACCGGACATTCCCGACACGCGCACTTTGAAAAATTATCAGAACTTTTACGAGACATCTACTTTTGTCTAATAATGTTTTTTCTAAACAAATAACTCAGAATATACTAGGAAAAAGGATTTATTTGATTTACGGCATTGAGAGCTGAGTTAGACTCGATAAATCGAGAAATTTATGATAACCATTCTGCCATTACCATTCTGCCGCATCCTGGAAAGCAAAAATTGTTCAATAATAGATTAACTGCCTTGCAAAAGCTGTTAACAGTTCGTAAAAGAACTTTATGAATCAAAAAGGGTACTTTTCCAATATCGGGGGAGCGAAAGGAAAATCGGGGGAGCAAATTTTGCTCCCTCGAAAAATGCATTTCCGGGACTGTATTTTAACTCCAACGTTTTTTTTAAAACTTTAACGACGATGCGCTTCTCCGATATTTGTGCGTCAAGAAATCGACGGCAATCGATTATTTCGTCACCAAAGGAGTCATCCAGTCGTGGATTTGCAAATGTGGCGAATCGATGAAAGTCCGCTCAAAGGGAAAAGATCTATTTCGCTGGGTATATGACACTTGCGCACGGCGAAAGGCCCCAAGCATTCAAGAGGAATTCGAGTCGATAACTTTTTGCAACAAAGTAAGCTCCCGTTCGTCACAATTTTAAATAGGACATATGTAGCGCTGCCAAAATTTGCTCCCCCGATTTTCCTTTCGCTCCCCCGATAATCCTTCCGCTCCCCCGATATTGGAAAAGAACCCAAAAAAGTTAAACGTTTTACATACCGTTTTACAGAGAAAATCACGAGCAACTGTTTGTCGACGAGCCATTGATGTCTGTGATCTCCCGGAATATTGCAATGGAGAAACGGATGAATGTCCAGCGAATTTCTTTGTACAAGATGGCGCATTTTGTCCGGGATATGCTGATGTGAGTTTAAGAATTTGAATAACTAAAGTAAAAACTAGTAAAAGTAAGACGAAAGCGATCACTTTTGATCACTTTAATGTTCTTTTTCTTGTTCTCGTTCTTTAATGTTCTTTGATTGTCTTTAATGTTCTTTAATGTTCTTGTTTTCTTTCAAAAACCATTTCAGGCTTACTGCTACAATGGTCAGTGTGGATCTCGTGATTTAGAATGCGAGGTAAAAAAAGATTTCATTGAAAAAATGGGAAAAAGGCGACTCTCTTTGCAAAGACAAAGCCGCGTTGGGTGTCCTTTCTGTGCCCGCGTAATCGCCCCCTTTCTGGCAAAGGTCGCCGAGCCAAGTAGCTCCCTTTTCCCCGCTCCTCACCGTTGGCTACTAAACGGTGCTTGTCGGGCGGTGACGATACCCCAATTCGTTCACAGTCATTCCTGAATTGACCGTGTTGATTGAACGTCCTTCCTTAGATGTCCGAGCCAGACAAGAAAAATAAAAGAAAAGTAGTACAATGGTGGGAATTGGAGTTCGAATCTCTATCTCCATTTATCCGGGATTGCCAATGCCTGGCAACAAAATGTAAGATTGAAGATTAATATTTGGTAGAGCAATTTTTTAACCACATCATTTTTAACCACATTTTTAACCACAGTGACTCTAGAACCCATTTTAATCTGAAAATGTAAATAACAAGTAAAAAAATTGGTAATAATCACTTCAGCACTATTTTAAGAGTGCTAAAGTCAAATAGAAAGCCAAAGCCGAATCAAATGCGTTATTCACGCATTCAAAAAGCTAAAACTGCTCCAAAACTTCCATTTTATTTTAGTAATCACTCAATTTCAGAAAATCTGGGGTTCGGCGAGCAAGAGTGGACCAGATTTATGCTATGAGGCAAATATGCATGGAACATATCAGGGAAATTGTGGAACATACACATATTCGAATTACTCGAAGTGTCCAAGAGAGTGAGTTCATAGAAATTCGAGAATATCATTGATACAAAGTTTTAGAGATGTGAAATGTGGCCGTCTACAATGCTTGACACCGGCGGAGAAGCCACTCTTGGGTGAAACGTTCAGCCACAGCTATCACACTGTCTACGATCCGTCACTGAGACAACAGTTTCAATGCAGGGTTGGTTGATGAGCAATAGCTTGATGAGCAATAGCTTGATGAGCAATAGAAGGATAAAACAAGACTCTGCTATTAGTTTTATGCTAATTTGAGTTATAAGGAAACTAATTGAGATCGATTTATTTGAATAGATCGTATTGAATAGGTATAAAGGGGAAAAAACGAGAAAAAGTTGGCTGGTTAAGGCGTTTTTTGACGATTATCTTTTATATTTTGACGACTTTATAACTCCATATCAAATAAAAGATTGATTAAATTGAAAATTCAAAGAAATTCTTGGTTTTCCCCTACGATTTTTGTGAATAAGTTTACTAAAACTGCTAACAATAATGAGCAGAATGAAATTTTTGTCGAAAAATGCCTACCTTTATACCCACAGAATACAGGGTGACAAAAAAATCATGAGCTTTTTTATAATGTAGTCGTCAAAGGCCGAATTTAATTCAAGAGTATCAAGTGTTAAATAGAGAATTGTAGCCCTGAATCTTGGCTACATTTATCTATCGTGGGACTTCCAAATTCCTGCGTTAGTCAATAAGTAATGAGTCAGTTTGCTGGGTTGGTCAAGAAAGAGTTAGTTTACTGGGTTGGCCAATAAGTAATGGGCCAGTTTACTGGGTTGGCCAATAATTAATGAGCCAGTTTGCGGGGTTGGCCATTAAGTTTAGTTGACCCTCTGTGTTTACCACTAAAAGAGACAATAGATTTCCCTTATTTCAAAGCAAATTCATTCATTGGGTATGCTTTCTTAGTTCTTTATTAACTCTGTCGACTAATCCTTTGGTCGATCATGACTTCCTCACCAAGACTACAAGGCTAAGACCTTTTTTTTGCAACTGCGTGGGTCAATGAATAATGAGTAATGAGAATAATAAAAGTAATGAGTCATGACGTTGTATAGTTACAGTTATAGTCACAGCAACAGTATCAGTTTGGATTCTATTGAACTAATGACTAACTAATGATTATTTACTGGGTTCCATTCAGCGGAAACATTTACATTAATGTATAACAGACAGTACTTCAAATCCAAAACAACAATCGACATCGGCTTGCAGTTACGAATTTCAATTACTGAATTGGATTCTATTTATCTGATTTACAGATGGTTGAAAGTCAACTCCGAGACAACAACAAGCAACCCGGATTGGTGAATGATGGAGCAATTTGTGCAAAAGATAAGGTATCGAAAGTACAACAAATTCAGAGTACAACAAATTCAGAGTACAACAAATTCAGAGTACAACAAATTCAGAGTACAACAGATTCAGAGTACAACAGATTCAGAGTACAACAAATTCAGAGTACAACAAATTCAGAGTACAACAAATTCAGAGTACAACAGATTCAGAGTACAACAGATTCAGAGTACAACAAATTCAGAGTACAACAGATTCAGAGTACAACAAATTCAGAGTACAACAGATTCAGAGTACAACAGATTCAATGCTTAATTCAGATTTGCTTGTCGAAGAAATGCACCACACTTAAAGCGATCCGGTCAACAATCACAGATTGCCAGAAGAACTGCTTTCATCGAGGCGTTTGCAACAATGTGGGCAATTGTCATTGTGCGGATGGATATGGAGGTAAATGAAATGGGAATTTAAAACCTTACAAACAATCTTTTAGGCACTGCCTGTGATATCCCTGGGTATGGAGGCTCGGTGAACTCCAATCCAGCAACTGATTCCCGTGGCCTCTCCACAGTCATTTTGGCCGGTGGCATTCTTTCACTATTCATCTTGATCTTCATCGGATTCACGATCTATTTTCATCGAAAGAAACAGATCTGGTTACCATCGATGTAAGTTTTGAATTGAAATTTGATTAGGATTATCAAACTTGTTTTTACCTTGTAGGACTTGTAGATTCGGTGTGGGCTTTTTCTCTGTTCTCTGTTTAACTTTCTCCCTCCACAATATTTGCTACAATGTTTCCAATAAATCCCTTCTGTTTCAGTTGTTGGGAGTGGACAAAGGACAAGCTGAACCTTCGAGGCGTCCTCGTGCCGATTCGTAAAGCGCCACCACCACCCGGAGGGCACAAACAAATGAAGGTACCAAAATACCGTTTTTTCCAAACGTAGTGCACCACACCGAGCCGAGTTGATGACTATTTTACGGTTTCCAAGCTTTTGCAGAAGCTCAACACTCTAATCCCCACTAGATCTCATCGTCAGCTACATTTTCCGACCCCACATCGATAGGTTCTGATAAGCGGTTCTCAAGATTTCAAGCAATTTAGGCAAAGCTTAGGGTACTACTATTAAGCAAAATACGGTATATTTCGTTGGTGAATAAGGCTTTTCTTTCCTTTTTGTATTTCCGTAAAATATAAGTCTACAATAGAAGCAACTTTGTGGAATAATTGAAAAATAGAAGCAAATGCGCTTCTTTTGGAATAAATACGGTAATAGGACCTTTCCCGTACTCGTTAGAATCGGAAATATTATATTAAAGCCCCACTATAACCCCAAGAACACAAACAAAAGGTTTTACCCGGAAGGTATTGGATAGATTTGATGCTAAATAAGGGCCTAAATCTTTGCAACTCACCCCTCCGACAAGAATTGGCTGTGGAAATGTCTTGTGTGGATCAGAGACGACAAGGATTGGATGGGGTGCATTCGGATGTGGATCGGATGAGTAAAGGATTGCTTGGGGAAGGCGCTGGTGTGGATCCGATGAGACAAGGATCACTCGTTGTGGACTCGACTCGGGCACTTTTTCTGGGCTCCTATTTTCCCGTCGATCACCCTCTTCTCGCGTTGTTGTTGACTATTTTATGGTTCCCAAGTCTTCCCAGAATCTCAACACTCTAATCCCCACTAGATCTCATCGTCAGCTACATTTTCCGATCCCATATCGATAGGTTCTGATAAGCGGTTTTTGAGATTTCGACCAATTTAGGAAAAGCTTACGGTGCACGATTATTCGGGAAAATACGGGAATAGAATTTGAATTAAACTATGAAGCTTTAGCGTCAATCGAAGAACCAACTTGGTTTGGGCGAACATCATGTGGTCACCTATCGAACTGCCGACAATTCTGTGCCGATTTTCCACAATCCATCCCCACCCACTCTGGTCACTGGATCGAATAGGAACGCTTTCCCCGATCAACATCACGTTGGAATGGGTTTTCCGGCTCAGGTTAGTTTTAGTAGACATGGGAAAACTCCAAGTTGAACCTAATTATTCTGAATAAAGTTGATGCTTGTTGAGAGAGGAGCATTGCTTCTTAAAGCATTGCTTCTTAAAGCATTGCTTCTTAAAGCATTGCTTCTTAAAGCATTGCTTCTTAAATTGCTTCTTAAAGCATTGCTTTAAGAAGAGACGACAATACGTTACTAATGACGGCCGTAATGACGATTATTTTTCTGGTATCAACTCAAGTTTTCAACAACTTTTGTTATTCATTTTGCAGAAAGTTCTGGTAACTTTGTACTAGTTTTCAAGAAGAGATTCAAGGCTCGTATTAGCTATAATAGTTTCGTTTATCTTTAAATCTGTCAATTGAATTGTCAATTGAACTATCTGTCACTAAATTATCGATAAAACAGTTGACGACTACGCGATTGTACGCCCAAAATATTGGGTTGGTGAATTGAAAGCTGCGGGACTTTGAACTAAAATTGATTCAACATAAAACCATCAATTCATTCCAAATAATTTCCATTATTACTGACGACTTCTGCCCATTTTACAGGCAATTTGCGGATTCCTCTTTCGTAGTAGGATTTTGGTTTGTTTGTGAGACAAGTGTGAGACTCAAAAATGGAGGACTGGAGATGTCAGCTGTCAGCCCAGTTTGAGCACTTTCTTCAAAAGAAACCCATTTTGGTGTCAATGGAAAAGTTGTAGAGAATCAAAAATTAAGCTTATAGCCAAATTTTCAAAAAGATACACTTAGTAGTTTCGCTTAAAATGCAAGTTTTGTTGCAAGCTTTGTTGCAAGCTTTGTGAAAATTCGTAAATTTGGCATTTCTTGAAAACCAGTTTTTGAATCGTTCTGAAAATTTCGATATAAGCCTAATTTTTGATTCTCTACAACTTTTCCATTGACACCAAAATGGGTTTCTTTTGAAGAAAGTGCTCAAACTGTCACATATGACAATAGCCGGCAGTTTTCAATTCACCAACCCAATAGTTAAAGATTTGAGATCATTTGACATGTAGTAAAGCATTTTTTGAAAAGCTTTTCAACTTAGCAACCACTTAGCAAATTTCTAGAACCTTTGATAGACAAAATAACAAAATTCTGATGTTTTTAGCTCGCTCAAGATGACAACAAGCTAACCGGGGTATGAATCCCTCTGTTTTTGGTGCTTGTGACTAGACAGCTAATAGTCACAGTACCGCTTTATGTTCTTAAACTGTCCATAGAAGTTTTATGGGTTCTTCTCGGAAATCCGGGTCTTTTAAAGAAATGCGGGTCTTTTCAAGGTGAAAAACAATCATATCATATAGAAAAGCAAAATCCAAAGCCAATTTGATTCTCTTGGGACTTTTCTTGAGACAAAGAATCAAAAATAAACTCCGCCAATAGATTCTACGATCCTGAAAACCCCAGGCACAAATTTTTAACACTAAATCTCATTTGGAAATGATTTAGAGAAGAATTTTTGAACATTTTGGAAAAATTGAATGAATTGCTTTCAATTACGAGCTGAAAGCGTTCAAATACAAGCATGAACAAAAGAAAAACTGTTGGAATAGAAATAGATGCAAGAAATAGATGCAAAAGGAAGCTTAATTGAAAATATTTCAATTGGCAGTACCTAGAATTCACTAATGCTGAAGCATTTTTGCTAACAATAATGATCCGAATGATACTCACAGAATACAGGGTGACAAAAAAATGATGGGCTTTTTTATAATGTAGTTGTCAAAGGCCGAATTTAATTCAAGAGTATCAAGTGTTAAATAGAGAATTGAAGCCCTGAATCTTGGCTACATTTATCTATCGTGGGACTTCCAAATTCCTGCGTTAGTCAATAAGTAATGAGTCAGTTTGCTGGGTTGGTCAAGAATTAATGAGTTAGTTTACTGGGTTGGTCAATAAGTAATGAGTTAGTTTGCTGGGTTGGTCAAGAAGTAATGAGCCAGTTTACTGGGTTGGCCAATAAGTTTAGTTGACCCTCTGTGTTTACCACTAAAAGAGACAACAGATTTCCCTTATTTTAAAACAATTTCATTGATTGGGTATGCTTTCTTTATTCTTTGTTAACTAATTCTTTAGTCGATCATGACTTTCTCACCAAGACTACAAGGCCCACCAAGACAACTGTTGGAGTAGAAACAGATGCAAAAAGAAACTTAATTGGAAATATTTCAATTGGCAGTACCTAGAATTCACTAATGCTGAAGCATTTCTAGAAAGCCTTATTTTTTGCCTTTGCATTATTGTGAACTGCAATATTTTGAACTGCAATATTGTGAACAAAAAATCTCTTTCTCTTTCAATTCCATTTGTCTATTTGCCTATATAGTTCCTTTATAGTTCCTATTTGGTTACTGTATAGTTCCTATTTAGTTCCTATTTGGTTCCTATCAAGTTCTTTATAGTTCCTATTTGGTTACTGCATGGTTTGCTTAAGATCCGAAGCAAAAAAGAGAGAATAGGCTAAATTTGGGTGACTAAATCGGATGATTTAAAAAGAAAAGGAGAACCTAACCTAAAAGGAGAACTTCAAATCTTCTTGATGCTTCTCGATGCTTCTCGATGCTTCTCTTCTTGATCTATATCTATTTGTTCTCAGCTTTTGTGCTTCAAGATGTGCTCCAAGATGTGCTTCAAGATGTGCTTCAAGCTGTGTTTCAAGTGGTGCTTCAAGTGGTGCTTCAAGATGTGCTTCAAGATGTGCTTCAAATGGTGTAATGAGCAGATTTTTAATTTGCTCATTGCAATCAAAAAATAATAGGCTTTCAGAGTCGTAGAATCTATTGACGGAGCTTTTTTTAACCTTTTGTCCCAAGAAAAGTCCTAACAGAATCGAATTGGCTTTGGGTTTTGAATCTGATAGCTTTTCACAATGAAAAGACCCGTATTCTCTTGAAGAAGAACTCTTTTATGCTTTCAAAGCTTTCAAGTTAACCCTAAAACTATCAAACTTTTAGCCGGTCTTCTCTGCTCAAAGTGCTGCAACTGTTTCAAGAAGTGGCTCTCTCCTTCGACCGAATCAACCGCCGCCCATTGTGCCCGGTAGACCGAGGGAATCGACAATCAACGCATTATATGAAGAGCATGCGAATGAATTGGGAATAAAGTTGGTTTGGCATTGGCAGTGACGGTTGGGCAGTGACGTTCATTTAAGTTCTTTAGGAAAGAGCCAAAAGAGCACGAATATGTGATGCCGCCCGATGGCCAACCACCCCCACCGATACCCAAAAATCAGCCGAAAGTCGGATCGAAATTGGAGCGATCGGAGTCATTGAATCGACCGAATAAAGCCCCACCGCCACCGCCAGCGCACGAAAAGGTGAGTGGATCTGGCAACAATTCGGAAATGTCAAAGACGAATCAAAAGACGAGTCAAGCGACGAGTCAAGCGTCTAATGATACAAAGAATATTGAAATTGAACAACTCAAAGCCAAGAAACTTAAGCTCAAAGTTAGATTAGTAATGAAAAAAGGAACGGGGCGACGGACCTTTTATACGCGCTCCGCCCCCTTCAGCATTGGCAATCCAACTTTGATGCGCCATCATTAGATGCGCCAAGTCTTTCTCTATCGATTGGTACAGAAACTATTTAAATTGGACAGCTGAACACCAAGAAATTTGAGTTCAAAGTTGGATTTCCAATGGCAAAAGGGGGCGGAGCACATAGGTTACAAAAATAATCGTCTTTAAATCAAAAATCCGAACACTACAAATTTTAAGTTAGGCCCAAAAATGAACGGAAAAAATAAAATGATCCGAAAAGCATCATCCAAAATTTCAGAATTAAAGGCGGCGACTTTGATGTTAGTGAAATTTCATATTTCATCGAACCATAAAGTGTTATATGTCATTCAATAGCTCTTTTCACGCTCTTTCAAAATGCTGAATTGAGTTTTTGTGGAATTCTATTTTTCCATGAAATTTTTTTCCATATTCGGCGCCGAAAAGTCAAAATAATTTTTTTCACGAAAATCTAGCTGATAAACTAGGCTCAAAAAGCAAATTTCTGAATTCTACGCAAAAAGTTGGTCGGGAATTGTTTTTTAATTTTGTTTTTTGGTCAATGGAAACGCGAGCTCCGAAACCTAGGTTTTTTAGAAGTGCGCGGTTATATGGCCCGCGCGCACCTTTGATGTTGGTAAAATTTTTCTTTTGTGTCAAATCATCAAGTGTTACATATCATTCGAAAGCATTTTTATGTGTTTAAACATGGCGGAAAGAATTTCCCGAAAAATTTGACTTTTTATTAGTTTTGTCCGATTTTATAATCTGGAATGCAGTTTTTTCTGGTTCTGCGGTACTTGCAGATCTGGTATAGTCTAGAAAAAATTTATTCTATTTATAAGCATGAATTAGACAAAAAAAAGAATCACAATTGAACATTAAGCAAAAAAGGAGGAAATTAAGATGTCATATTTCCATCATCATTGAGGAGAACAACATAACCGAGCCACTTGAGCGAGTTCATTAGTCGCTCTTCTGGTGGTCCTGTCTTGTTTCGAGCAAATTCAGATTCTAGCCTGCTGTGAACTGCCTCAATGCCCTCTTCGGATGCATTTCCGATGAATTTATGCTCATGGACAAATGGGCCAAGATGTAAGAGTAGAGCATGGACCAGTACACTTTGTCCAAAAACCACCAACTTTTTCTAGTTCATCGCAAAAGAATCGCTGTTTGGCAGCAGTTTCTGGCTTTTGAATGTTTGCCTTTGCAAGCCAAATCTTTTATTTCTTTATCCGAAAGAACACTTTTAGTGGTTGAAACCATTTGAGACCACTTGTTAAACTCACGTAATGCAGAAATGACTACTTGATAGGAACGGGAGGAAGAAACGACTGCTAAATCCGAAATCACTGAGGATCGACAGAGATTCTTTATATCGTTTCCGTTGAAACGAGCATAGATAATCCCATCACTCTTCCGATTCACATTCAACTTCCATTTTCGACAAACATCTTGGAAAGTCTGAGAGGACCCTTCGAGTTTCATCAATTGTTCAAAAAGTTGGTTTCCAATCTTGATTTTTGCATGAAGTATTGGGGGAATTACCAAACTTCGAGAAACATTTAATAGATTTTCTTTTTTTGCCTGCAGACCTTTTACTTTTTGAAATCATCGCTTCCACCGAAGGGTCACTCCGATCAGCATATTGTTGAAAATCAATTGAATCCTTATCAGCGGATGGTTTTTTGTCAAACCCTCTTGTTGCACCATAAACATCCAAACATCATCGCACAGGAAAGACCAAAATTGGTGTTCAAGAAAGATAGATCTCCACCGAGAAAAACCATATATCCGGCTTGCACCAAAGTCTCAAAGTCTTTGCAAATTCCCTTTTCCTTCAGCGAGTCGTAAGAATCTGAACCTTCCCAAGCTTGTAATGGAAGACAATTTCGAGACGAGCACGGTTTTTCGCAGCTCAGGAATGAAATAGTTGAAATAACTCGACCGTGTCCTTTATCGAGGGAAAAAATCAGCCGTTTTCCTCGCTCATCGAGCAGATCCAATCTTCTTCGCCGCTCTTCAACAGCTTTCAACACAGCTTCCAATCTTACTCCTTCATTGAGAACTATTTCATATCTGACAAACTGGTCCAGAGTCTTCTTGGCCTTCTCGATAGTTCGTTGTGAGCCAATGGTTACTCCTTGGTTTGATTGAAGAAAATGGTTTACAGATAATAGTCCTTTATTTGATAGATTGGCACTTTTTTTCATACCGAGTAGAGCTTCTGGAGTTGGAGGAGTCGGTGATTTGGTTTGAATATGTGAGGTTGAAGCAACAGAATCATCATCGTTTTGCTTTGCTTTTGCCACATAGACGGCGTTTTGACGATTTTGCTCGGCTCTTTTCTTTTCATTATCTTTCAGAATCCTTGCCTCTAGTGCTCCTTTCAAATGTGCTTTCCGGTCGAATTCTTTTTTCTTTTTGTTGATTGTCTGCGGATCGTGATGAGCTTTCTTCTTTTGATTGCACAGGATTTGCAGGCACTTTCCCACTTCGTAATCCGTGCATGTTGTTTTGATTCGTTTGGCGTCCATGTTCCAAGTTGCCACTTCTAGACTTTTTGGCTTCTGATGTTCGTCCCATCTGCAAATTATAACTTTTGTTTTGAAAGTGTAGGAAATACGAATGTATGTAATAAGAAAAATAATAATAATAAGCTAATAATCAAAAAATAAATAATCGGGAAGCAAAATTGTCTGTAACTAAATGATTTTCTCCTGCGATTGACATTTATAACTTTATCATCTGTCATGCCTTTGGCATAGTAATTTATCGAGTAATTGTCCTACTATGCCTTTGGCATAGTAATTTATCGAGTAATTGTCCTACTATGCCTTTGGCATAGTAATTTATCGAGTAATTGTCAAGGCTGTATTTGGCTGTGCACCTGGGTTGCCTACCCGAAATTGACAAATACTCTCAATTTCAACTTTCCTGGAATTGTAACTCTTTCTTCAAAAGAAATTGCGTTTTTCACTTTTTTTTAGAATAAATTTTTTCTAGACTATACCAGATCTGCAAGTACCGCAGAACCAGAAAAACTGCATTCCAGATTATAAAATCGGACAAAACTAATAAAAAGTCAAATTTTTCGGGAAATTCTTTCCGCCATGTTTAAACACATAAAAAATGCTTTCGAATGATATGTAACACTTGATGATTTGACACAAAAGAAAAATTTTACCAACATCAAAGGTGCCGCGGGCCATATAACCGCGCACTTCTAAAAAACCTAGGTTTCGGAGCTCGCGTTTCCATTGACCAAAAAACAAAATTAAAAAACAATTCCCGACCAACTTTTTGCGTAGAATTCAGAAATTTGCTTTTTGAGCCTAGTTTATCAGCTAGATTTTCGTGAAAAAAATTATTTTGACTTTTCGGCGCCGAATATGGAAAAAATTTCATGGAAAAATAGAATTCCACAAAAACTCAATTCAGCATTTTGAAAGAGCGTGAAAAGAGCTATTGAATGACATATAACACTTTATGGTTCGATGAAATATGAAATTTCACTAACATCAAAGTCGCCGCCTTTAATTCTGAAATTTTGGATGATGCTTTTCGGATCATTTTATTTTTTCCGTTCATTTTTGGGCCTAACTTAAAATTTGTAGTGTTCGGATTTTTGATTTAAAGAAAAAAAAAATTTACACAGGGGTGTAATCGATGTGCGGAGCGCGTATAAAAGGTCCCTCGCCCCGTCCCTTTTCCCATTAGTAATCTAACTTTGAGCTCAAGTATCTTGGTATTGGGCTTTCCAATTTTAACATTCTTTGTATCATTAGATGCGCCAAGTCTTTCTCTGTCGATTGATACAAAAACTATTCAAATTGGACAGCTGAACACCAAGAAATTTGAGTTCAACTAAAGCTTAATCATTCAGAGTCTCCTCTTTCGAACAAAATTTGGGGTTTTCGAAAATAAAACTAGATTTTTAGCCCAAACTGTCACAGAAGCCAAAGCTGCCGACAAAATCGTTGGTGAGTGGCCGACCGATTGTCGAAGGAGACGAGGATGATTCCAGTCAATCACAAGTCATTTCTGTTAAAGATATTAAAGCGAGATTTGAAAAGTAGATGAAAATTCGTTGAATTCAACGATATTTATTGCACTTTACTTAATTTTATTTGATTTTTAGCTCAATGAGAATTTTGTCCCATATGAATTTCATTTTTTTCCCTCTTTCCCTTTTTTCCTTTTTTCCCTTTTTCCCTTTTTTCCTTTTTTCCCAAAAATCTCTAGCCAAATCGCTTGTGATATGAATTTTTAGGTTTCTATGCAAATTTTTTATATTTTTGATAAGTCACTTACGCCTACAGTACCCCTTAACAAATCTCTTCCCTACGCACTTTTCAGGGGGATGGGACAAATGCGATTTTTTTTTTGCGCACCTGAACATTTGCGCACCTTTTTTTGCTGGAAAAGGCCTTAGGAAAGGTCGTAGAGCTTCGAAAATATTTCCCTATAGGGTATCGTATGTGTAGATTCCGAAGTTGTGAAGAAAACTACGCAACTTAACGCTTTTCCGCAGTTTTTGCCTTTTAGCCCAAATTTGACGTGTCAGCGAGGTCTGATTTGTCGAAATTCGGAATCTACGCATACGATTCCTTTCTGTGAAAACATTTTCGAAGCTCTACGACCTTTCCTAAGGCCTTTTCCAGCAAAAAAAGGTGCGCAAATGTCCAGGTGCGAAAAAAAGGTCGCATTTGTCCCAGCCCCCTTTTCATTCCAAACTTGCCCAGCTAATTTTAGTCTTTCTAATGAATCGTCACAATCGTTAAAAGTATTCTACCTACCCCCATAGCTTACTGACTTATTTAGAGTACTTATTATACTCTAATAAGTCTGTACTTCTTGCAAATGCACTCTTTCTAGTGCACTTAAATCTACAAATCTACCAAGCTGCTCCTCCAGAGAAAAAGAAGAATTTCAGTGCACCAGAAAGGGCGTGTTACTGCTTTTGGGCACAAAGTACACTGCTTATCAATCACTGTTGTTATTTTGAGTTTTAGAAAAGTTTTATCTTTGTTCCAGTGCTACTTATCTAAGTCATTTCGTTTCAACAAATTTGTAAATCTTTTTAAATCTTTAAAGGTACTGTAAAGCTTTATTATGAGCGGTATGACAGAATAAAAGTCTACAGGAACTGAAACGGAATATTTTCTCTCCTGTATACCGTAATCTAATTTCTACAGTATCCTCGCAAGTTCACAAATCACAATTCAGTTGTATCAAGGGAAAAAATAAGGCATCGAGAAAAAATAAGGGTCCAAGAAGAAAAATAAGGGTTCAAGAAGAAAAATAAGGGTTCAAGAAGAAAAATAAGGGTCTAAGAAGAAAAATAAGGGTTCAAGAAGAAAAATAAGGGTCTAAGAAGAAAAATAAGGGTACATGAAGAAAAATAAGGGTTCAAGAAGAAGAAAAATAAGGGTCCAAGAAGAAAAATAAGGGTCCGAGAAGAAAAATAAGGGTCCAAGAAGAAAAATAAGGGTTCAAGAAGAAAAATAAGGGTACAAGAAGAAAAATAAGGGTTCAAGAAGAAAAATAAGGGTCCAAACTCTCAAACTCATTTTTTATTTACTCAAACCTTAACCATAAGTATATTTTTAAAGAATTTATTATTAATTGATGCCTCTTGTATCAATTGATGTCTCATCAATTGAGCAATTGATGGCAGTGAGCCGAATAGGAACAGTGCTCATTCAAAGACTTTTTAAATGAGCTATATACATCCGATTGGGAAGTTTTTAGTAGATAAATGTGGCCAAGATTAAAGGCTACAACTCTCTATATAACACTTAATACTTTGAAATAAATGAAGCGTGCGACAACTACGATTCCAAAAAGTTGTTTGGATAATTTTGAGACGCCCTGTACTTTTCCAAAAAGTTGTCTGGGTAATTTTGCCCAACCCTGTACTTTCTTTGGTGTTTCTTTCTTTCTGTTTCTCTTCAGGATGAGGTGGATTTGAGGAATTGGTTTTGAATGAAGCGAATCCGGACGAATTGAACTCGAAATGAACGATGGATGAATTCGAGCTCGACAAAGGAAAACTCAAGCGATCTGGAGTTGGTGGTGATGGAGCCGATCGTTTCGAAGTACGAGAAAGTGAGTCTGTTTAAGTTAAGCTCTGTTGTCGTGAATTCGGGTGACGAGTTTTTCACTGGAGGAATTTTGTAATTAAGAATCAAAACTTTTAAAGGCAGTGGATTTGGATTCGCTTCATTCGATTCCCGCGGATCCAACTCATTCTTAAGACGACACAGAGAGGAAGTACAAGAAGAAAAAATATTGGGTTGGGGAGAATGAGTCAGCGCCAAACTTTAAAGGGACTTTTTGCACACATAAAGCCTTCTTTAAACATACGTTTGGTTTCATCAAAAGGATCCACTATTTCTCTACAAAATGACTTTTGAGAGATTCCACAAAGCTTTTCTTTCGTGGAGTTTATGAACTTCCAAACGCAGCTGGTTAAAATGGCAAAGAGTCCGACTCATCATTTGAACAGTTTCTTTCACATAAACCTTCTTTGGTGTTTATATAAAAAAGATAGAGCACATTCAATTACTTAAGTTGCCAAATTTGCACGAAGATCCCACCAATGGTTTTTTCTAGATCACAGTTTGTAGTTTTTGTGAAAAAATGGCTTTTTCTTGAGCGGAGGCGCTGTTTGAATTTTCTTTTAAATGTGATTTTGTAGAGAATTAGTTAACCATTCTACTCATATCAAACGCATATTATTTGACGAAGTCGAATAGAAGTTTTAGATTTTTTGATTTTCGGCGCCGACTCATTCTCCCCAACCCAATACAAAGAAAGTAGAGACATAGTGAATTCTTCATTAAAAATAGACTTATGGTTAAGGTTTGAGTAAATAAAAAATGTGTTTTAGAGTTTGGACCCCTATTTTTTCTCGGACCCTTATTTTTTCTGGGACACTTGTTTTTTCTTGGACCCCTATTTTTTCTCAGGCCCTTGTTTTTTCTGGGACCCTTGTTTTTTCTCGGACCCTTGTTTTTCTTGGACCCCTATTTTTTCTCAGGCCCTTGTTTTTTCTGGGACCCTTGTTTTTTCTCGGACCCTTGTTTTTCTTGGACCCCTATTTTTTCTCAGGCCCTTGTTTTTTCTGGGACCCTTGTTTTTCTTGGACCCCTATTTTTTCTCAGGGCTTGTTTTTTCTGGGACCCTTGTTTTTCTTGGACCCCTATTTTTTCTCAGGCCCTTGTTTTTTCTGGGACCCTTGTTTTTTCTCGGACCCTTGTTTTTCTTGGACCCCTATTTTTTCACTGACCCTTATTTTTTCTCGGACCCCTATTTTTTCACTGACCCTTATTTTTTCTAGGACCCTTATTTTCCCCTTCTTTTGAGGTTGGTTCCAAAATTCCATTCTATTTGCTTAATAGCTTTTAATAATGCTTTAATTTTATCGTTTTTTTTTTGATAATTTAGTCAAAATTTGAGCATAAACTTGTGATTTACCATTGCAGTTTTGTCAAAAATTCCGCTTACGAGTCTTGCTTTTTTCTAAAGCCGTATTTTCATAAATTTTCCTTATGAATCATGTTTACTTTCGAAAAATCCAACACATTTCTTTGAAACAGACAAAATATTCGGAAAAAGATGAGATTTCAAAAAAAATTCATTCATTCTCTGAAAAAATGAAGCTGATACTTGCCGCGTTTGGGATATTTTTGTGCTCGACGGTAGGAGAATCCGAAAATTTACTTATTTCTAGGAATTTTGAGCTGATTCTCAATATTTGATGAAAGTTTTCTTTTTACAGGGTGTTCCACAATTACTGATACCCCCACCCCTCATGATAAAAGCATTGAAATTGTCTAACGCGAGCGATTTATTGACTGTTTTTTTAAGTTTTTCTTGTTTTAAACTTGTTTTCATTTAATAATATTAAAAAAATTGTCCTTTTTTAAAAATGGCCAAGCCCTCCAGCTTTCGCGACTTGATTATTTCTTTTCACAAGAAAGGTATTCCGGCACGGTCGGATCGACTGGGGTGACGCACGACGGGGGGTCAACGACTGGGGGACGTCAACGACTGGGGTGACTCAACGACTGGCCGACTGGGGGCGTCACGACGGGGGCCAGAGGGGGTGACAGTCAACGACTGGGAGTGACAAAACAACTTGTTTTGCGAACATGCAAACGTTTTAACTCTCTTGGAACAAATCAGGATCGAAAGGGACGTGGAAGACTTGTAACTTCGGCTGTTAAGACTGCTACCAAGAACGTTCGCGAGAGAATAAGGCGCAACCCGGAGAGAGCTCTGTTCGTCAAATGGCTCGTGAAATGAAAGTTCCTGTGACTTCGATGCATCGAATCGTTCGAAAACGCTTAGGAATGAAAGCTTTCAAGAAAAACAAGCGTCACGGAATTACCGATGCTACAAAACCTAAGAGAGAACAGCGTTGTGCTCAACTTCTTGCTCGGTTTCCTGGAAAAGCTCACCGAAGGATTCTTTTCACGGATGAGAAAGTTTTTACGGTCCAGCAAGTGTTGAACAAGCAAAACAATCGAATTTACGGCATTTCTAATCCACACAAATCAGTTTCGCATTCTCTTCATCCGACCTCGGTGATGGATCTCCCCTACTTGCGTGCCAGGGTCGGCGACTTCCCGAAGCGCCTCCAGCTCTGTATCAACGCGAAAGGAGGACATATCCAATAATTGTTGTTTTTCCATTACTTTACTATCTAATTTGTTAAAAATAAAAGTTTCATCACAAGTTTTCTACTAAAAAAAGTTTTTTCAAGCTAGTTATCAGGTATCAGTAATTGTGGAACACCCTGTAGATTTATTTTTAGATTTATTGGTACTTGTGGAGTATCGGGGGGAGGCTCTTTCAATATCCGGGATGGTAAAATTTTAAGATCCCGGGTAAACAAGATGCACGAGTAATGCAAGAACATAAACATAAACCAAAAATAATAATTAAATAAATTTGTGAAGTACAACAGTGACTATTTGTAACAGTGACAATGAATACTACATGTAAAAATCTATTTACTTTTTTACTTCTAGGCCAGAAGGCCAAATATCAACACATAAAACTACCCCAAAAAATGGTTTTGAAAAAAAAAAGTGACCCGCCAACTAGGATAGCATCAACATTTCTAATAATGACATAAAAAATTTTGTAGAAGTTACGTTTTTTGATCGAGTATCACACCTCGAATCACGTAATCAAGTACCCTAAAGTCTCGAGTATAAGTTGATCCGAGTATAAGTTCTGCCTTAATTTACATTCGCTTTAATTGCTTTGAATTTCTTTTTGTTGGGTTTTTATACATTTTTTATATTGTTATATAAACTTTTATTATTGTTCTTGGAGCGCGGGATACTACAGGGTGACAGCCTATCACCATTGCTATTTGTTATGTGCACATCCAGACGATAGTGTTGAAGAAGACGCGGGAAAGCATCTCTTTCGACCGTCGACGTGGACTTTGGCCGGATGAAGAGGCCAGGGGGGGCATCCATAAGACTGAGCACCGGAGAGGAACAGGGCGGACACGCCGAGCCACGTCCGGTGCAACAAATAACAGCATAAAATTGCTATAACCCTCAATAAATTTACTTCTATTATTGTTCTTAAAAAGCAAGAAAGTTAGGGTGCAGCGGGGTTCGAATCCTCGACACACCGCACCGGAGACAGCCGTCAATTTGCATGCGAAAACCAAACAGAACTTATACTCGCGACTTTAGGGTAATCACCTCGAATAAATTGAATATCTTTACATTTGAAGGGAATTTGCCACCAAATCACTTAGGCGGCTGAATATCTTTAAAAGGGGTCGTATATAAAGTATATAAAATTTTATCCCACCGGATATTGAAAGCCCCCCCCCCGGATACTCCACAAGTACCGATTTATTTTTAGATTCCTTCTTGAAAACTTACCGTATTTACTCTATTAGTGGGGTCCTCTCTAATAGTGGGGTCGTCTGGAGGGGGGTTGAAAAAATAGTGGGGTCCTCTCTAATATTGGTAACGAAAGTGATACATCAATTGTTGATCTCTTGGATTAGTTCTTTTACTGTTTGTTAATGTTTTGTTACGGTTAAAGCTAAATAAAATATGAAGCCAAACTTGTTTTTTCAAGAATTTCGGAGAAAAATTGATATCTTTTCAACTTAAAACTTTGGTTTTATGTTCTTTTAAATTTCTCTAATAGTGGGGTCCTCTCTAATAGTGGGGTCCTCTCTTCTCTAATAGTGGGGTCCTCTCTAATAGTGGGGTCCTCTCTAATAGTGGGGTCCTCTCTAATAGTGGGGTCGTCTGGAAGGGGATTGAAAAAATAGTGGGGGACCCCGCTAATAGAGTAAATACGGTAATTCTAATCTGATTTCAGCACGTTCACGCCGACAACCCATTCCTCCCGGTTTCCGATGTAAGTTTTGTGTGTCCTACGGAAATAGATGCTCTTAAAAGTTTAATAAAGTAAAGAAGTAAAGTTAGAGGTTGTTGTTGTTTTAAAGTTGTTGTTTAAAGTTGTTTAAAGTTGTTTTAAAAGTTAGAGCATACAGGGTGGCTGAAAATTACGTGCGCCAAAGAAAATGCCATAATTTCATTTTCTTTCAAAGAACATGTAAAAATATTTATTTATATAATAGTTGTAACAAAAGCATTTAATAGTTACAAGAAATTTTCGAAGTGGCCTCCATCCGCTTTGGTAGAGGCTTCAATTCGCTTCCTTTGACCTAGAAAACAACTTTTTTAACAAAAAATTTAACAAATTTAACAAAAAAATTAATAGACAACGATAAAAAGAATATTAAAATACAAAAAGATGAGTAGTAATGCTTTATACATTGTTTAAAACTATGTCAGATGCTGCGTGCACGTAATTTTCAGCCACCCTGTATACTAGATTGATGCAAAAGAAATTTTGATTGGTATAAAATGTTCTATTTTTTAAAAACTGGGAATCTTATTATCTTATTTGATTTTCTTTTTTATATTTGTACTCTTGGATATTTAGTTTATTTCTACGCTTTTTCTAAGTCAGAGCTTTCACTTTTTAATTGATGTTTGCTTTAGATTATGGTGGATCAAAAGCATAATGGATCGTTGTGCGCGCTTGTCTTCTCTACGATTTCAAGCTGGGCAAAAACGCTGACAAATCACATAGTGATCTCTGTTCCACTTTTGGAGAACAAGTTATGACCAAGAACATGTTATGAAGATCCTGCCAGCACTGGTTTGCCCGATTCGGAGAAGGTGAATTTCTTGAAGAGAGCATCGCTCGGCAGCGAAACATGAGCATCGCTCGGCAGCGATCAATAATAATGATTTGAAACAACTCATTGAAGTCGATCCAATGCAAACAACACGAGAGCTCTCCAAAATCTGCAATGTGATCAATCAACAATTGTCCGCCTTTTGGAAATAATCGGAAAGATCAATCGTAATGGACGATGGGTTTCACATGAATTGAGCACGGATTTTCCACATCTGGGAGTACGCCTTTGATCAACATATCTTCCTTCTCAAATCAAAAGAAGCCATTTTGCGAATATCTTGACGATGGACGAGAAGTGGATTCACTTCGATAATACTTCTCGAAAAAGACTATGGCTCAACATGAGTCAAATGCCAATTCCAACTCCACAGCCGGATCATCATGAGCACAAAGTGATGTTGTCTTGCTGGTGGAACATCAACGGGCTTGTTTATTACGAATTATTAGAGCCCAGAAAACAGTTGATTCACGTTGTTTTATTCAACAGCTCAAGAAGGTTGACCAAATTTTGCGTCAAAAGGGTTTAAATCCCTTGACTGTCAATTTTCTTCGTGACCAGCTCACACATCGAAAGCTTCTTGTATGGAGTTAGAGGAATTAGGATGGAAGGTCTTACCGCACGCGCCAGATAGTCCAGACTTATCACCATCTGCTTTTCACCTCTTCAGATCGATGCAACCTTGCGAATTGTCAGTTTAAGAATGCGCAAGAGGTCGAGATTTGGGTGATCGACTACTTTTAACCACAGAATCAAGAGTTCTTCGATAAGGGGAAATCTAAAGGAATGTTGGAGGGATTTTATAGATAACGTTGGTGCTTATTGTTTTGAATAAACTGCTACCTAAATTTTGATTAAATTTAATGTTTGTGAAAAAGCGAAATTTCTTTTGCATCAACCTACCGTAAATACTGTAATAATACCCCACCCCCATAATGACAGTGCGGAGTGTTGCGTAGTCTAGCTTTGAACGAGTTTTTCTCGACACTGGTTTATGCTACAATGCGCGCTTAGTTAGCAAAAAATAGCCCTGAATTTCAGCTATTTTTTGATACCAAAGACGCATTTTTTGAAAGTACGGGCGCTTTGAAAAAAATGAAATACTAAAAAACTTTTGCGACTACGCGACTGTACGAGGGGGGTGGGGTACTATTACAGTATTTACGGTAGTAAGATTCAATTCTGCTCAAATCTAGCTGCTTGATGAAGCCTTTATTAAGTTGAAAAGCTTGAGTTAAGCTTCTAAAAGCAATTTGAAAAGAAAAGAAGATAAAAGAAAAGAAATATGAAAAGAAATAAGAAAAGAACTAGTGTTAAATTCTGAAATAGGTAGTTGCAACTATCTATTTTTGTAGATTACCGAGTTGGACAACTAGTTAGATTACTCTCTTTTAAATATAATTGAACAATACCGGCTAGGTACACTACTGGACAATGAAATATGATATTTGAAAAACGATCGCCACTTTCGCGCGTCTGTAACTCCCTTATCTTTACCGTATTTCTAAATATTAATATTACCATTGTGTAGCCATTGAAAAGAGCTTTCAGAAAATGTATAACACTAATAGTTTAAACTCAAAGACAAGGGAGTTACAGACGCGCGAAAGTGACGATCGTTTTTCCAATATGGATATTTGTCTAGATTTAACTGTTTCGTGTCGAGTTACAGTGGGAAAATCGAGTTTTCATAATTTTGCGCCATCCTGTTTATTGCAGAACTCATCAGAGGAGATCCCCTCCACTCCGCAACCTTCTCCACCTCCTTCACCTCCATTTTCACTTTCACAACCACTTGCATCAACCCAGAACCAACCCCGACTTGTAATCAGAGAAAAAACGGTTTATTTATTAGAATAAATGCATATTTTATCTTTCAAGGTGATCGAAAGAAGACCAGGAGTGAGTGGAAGACCGTCTTCATTTCAATCTCATCCAATCATCATCAATCAAGTAACGCAAGCTGATGGATCACAAGTGGGTTCTACTGGTAAAGCTTGTTGTACTCTTATTGTAACAAAAGTTGTTTTCAAAAGCTAGAAGTGAAACAAGACTAGTCAAATTCAAGAAATATTGAACAGCTCTGACTATAACGAGCCATTATCTTGTATCACTATGCCAAAGCTGTTCAGAAGCTGTGCCAAAGCTGTTCAGAAGCTGTGCCAAAGCTGTTCAGAAGCTGTGCCAAAGCTGTGCCAAAGCTGTTCAGAAGCTGTGCCAAAGCTGTTCAGAAGCTGTGCAAAGCTGTTCAGAAGCTGTGCTAAAGCTGTTCAAAGCTGTGCCAAAGCTGTTCAGAAGCTGTGCCAAAGCTGTGCTAAAGCTGTTCAGAAGCTGTGCCAAAGCTGTTCAGAAGCTGTGCCAAAGCTGTGCCAAAGCTGTTCAGAAGCTGTTCCAAAGCTGTTCAGAAGCTGTGCTAAAGCTGTTCAGAAGCTGTGCCAAAGCTGTTCAGAAGCTGTGCCAAAGCTGTTCAGAAGCTGTGCCAAAGCTGTTCAGAAGCTGTTCCAAAGCTGTTCAGAAGCTGTGCCAAAGCTGTGCTAAAGCTGTTCAGACGTGCCAAAGCTGCAAATTCTATTTAAGAATGACTTTAGCCAAGCCCCATTGCTGTCTTTGTTGATGAGCAACGAGAAAAGGAAAGAATCGCTCTTATTCCAACACCACTTCTCGCACAGAACAATGGTGATGCCAATGATAATGATAATGGCAATGGATCCACTCAAAACAGCCAAACGAGTTTCCAGGAGGATCAACAATCACCGGATCAACAAGTTCGACAAGCTACAAGATTTTTTTAATAACTTTCCGTCTAGAATTCTGGTTCAATCACTACTTTCACTTCGGGATTCAATGCTCGGGGAGAGTCGATTCTTATTGCAAATGGGCCATTACCAGAAGTTTGTGAGAACTGTAAAACTGTGAAAACTGCCAACTGTAACAATGGATAAGAATTCAAAACTAATTTGCTCTGTCAGCTCCAGATCAATGCCTGACCTGCTTTGACCTGGATAGTCATAGCTCTTGGTTTATGGAACAACACCGATACCTATCCAAACTAATTTCCCCTGTATTACGAATTACTATTGTGCTTTCCCTTGAATTCACTAGATGTGGCTAGACCTGTGCGCTTTACTATTTACGTTTATACTTTACTTTACTTTTTACTTTACTTTACTTTTTACTTTTAAATCCTATGCAATGTCAGCTCTAAAATAGAGGTTTGTGAGAACTGTAAAACTGTGAGAACTGCCAACTGTAGCAATGGAACTGCCAACTGTAGCTCTAAGAATATCAGCTATAAACAAAAACAAGTTTGAGAGCTTGCTTTTGTTTTGAAAGGCTTGAGAAATGTGATGACTTTATAACTCTAGCTAAACTCTAGGATGGAGTTCCGGTGTTGGTGAAAACGTCGACCGGTTTTGCGACAGTGATTTTGAAACCGGTGGATCAAACAGGCTCTCAATCAATGAATCAACAAGTCCAAGGGCAACAGGAACAGCAAGATCAGCAAGATCAACTTGATCAACAAGACCAACTTGGTCAACAAGACCAACAAGATCAACAAGACCAACTTGATCAACAAGATGATCAAAGTCAAAAAAGTCAACAAATGGTAAAACTTGCTATCTTGATCTTGCTAGTCCTTTTAATTGATCCTTTTAGTCGCCGTTGAATCAGAATGTTTTCGGGGAATTCGGGGACTCTTTCGAGCGAGAAATGCGGCAACGAGCACTCACCCGGGGTGAACGACCAACCAATTTCCTTAAGGTAGTTTTTAACGTTTGAAACTAGGCTAAAATTAGCATATGATTTCTATTAGGCTGTCCAGAAAGTCTTTACGTTTCTTTTCGTACTTCTGTTTCGTACTTTTCGTACTTTTCTTCCTTCTGTTTCGTACTTTTCGCACTTTTCTTCCTTCTGTTTCGTACTTTTCGTACTTTTCGTACTTCTTCAACAGGACAGCTATGCTGTAAAGCTATACACAGCTAAAGCCTGAGTCCAAGCCAGTTTTTGTGAATTTCTAGATCTCCGGTGATGGGAAATATGTGAAAATCAATGGCAAGACGAAAGAGGAATCGCTTTTGGTAAATTTTATAAAGAAACCAAGAATCTACTGTAGATGTACATTGAAAAACTTTAGAAAAACTTTGATACGATGGAAAACAGCAATGAGGATGATGACGAGAAACCAATTTGGGTTCGTTTGCAGCAAAATTTAAATCAATTAGTTTACAGATCCACTTTAAATATTGAACTAACGATAAAATGGTTAAGACCTGAAAATCTAAAGATCTAAATCCAAAGATCTAAATCTAGAGATCTAAATCTAAAGATCTAAATCAGAGAAAAAAACCAAAAAAAAAAAAAAAAAAAAAAAAAAAAAAAAAAAAAAAAAAAAAAAAAAAAAAAAAAAAAAAAAAAAAAAAAAAAAAAAAATAAAGAAAAAAAGAAAAAAAAAAAAAAAAAAAAAAAAAAAAAAAAAAAAAAAAAAAAAAAAAAAAAAAAAAAAAGAAAAAAAAGGAAAAAAGAAAAAGAAAAAAATAAAATGCTCAAACCAAAGATCTAAATCTAAAGATCTAAATCCAAAGATCTAAATCTAAAGAGGAACCAAAAACCAAAAACAAACCTAATAAGACTTTAATCCTCAGATTCCATTGATGTTTCAGGATCCAGCTGCTGGCATAAAGGCAACCAAAGGGAAGACTTTTGAAGAGCAGCAGAGAATTGTAAGTTCAGCTGAAAAGGCACAATCTTCAATACTTACAAGACATTGACTTGAAATTCAACTATAGGAATAAAATTAACGCAAAATCTCCAAACAAAAATCCTTTTCCGAACCAAGCCCAACGCGAGAAGATGCGCGTGATCAGCGGGAGCCCAGGAAAAGTGCCCGAGTCGAGTCCACAACGAGTGATCCTTGTCTCATCGGATCCACACCAGCGCCTCCCCCAAGCAATCCTTCACTCATCCGATCCACATCCGAATGCACCCCATCCAATCCTTGTCGTCTCTGATCCACACAAGACACTTCCACAGCCAATTCTTGTCGGAGGGGTGAGTTGCAAAGATTTAAGCCTTTATTTAGCATCAAATCTATCCAATACCTTCCGGGTAAAACCCTTTTGTTTGTGTTCTTGGGGTTATAGTGGGGCTTTAATATAATATTTCTGGTTCTAACGAGTACGGGAAAGGTTAGCCTATTACCGTATTTATTCCAAAAGAAGCGCATTTGCTTCTATTTTTCAATTATTCCACAAAGTTGCTTCTATTGTAGACTTCTATTTTACGGAAATACAAAAAGGAAAGAAAAGCCTTATTCACCAACGAAATATACCGTATTTTGATTAATAGTAGTACTCTAAGCTTTGCCTAAATTGCTTGAAATCTCGAGAACCTATCGATGAATCTATCAGAATCTATCGATGTGGGGCGGAAAATGTAGCTGACGATGAGATCTAGTGGGGGATAAGAGTATTGAGCTTCTGAGAAGACTTGGAAACTGTAAAATAGCCACCAACTCGGCTCGTATTAGGAAAAAAACGGTATTTACCGATCTGGCCTATACATTTACTAGGGAAGGTCGCCAACTTAAGATGAAATTTCTAATGAAACTCAAGATGAAAAACGAGGCCTATCCTAGTGAGAGAGTTTTGTCGGATAGAGCTCTAATCAGCTAATGAAAAGCATTTACCATTGTTGCAACCGGGTCCAAAATAGATCGCCGCGTTCTTCATCTAGTGTAAGTAAGCAGCGTTCTCGACTCTGCTGAACTTGTCACAGCTGCCCATTGTGTAAACTCTGAAAATTATCAAATCTATTTTAAGAATCAAGCAATAGCAAATGAAGACTTGGACGATTGCTAACAGAATTGTGTTAAGAATTTGTGGGGTCGGATGTGGGGTCGGAAAATGTCTAGCTGACGATGAGATCTAGTGGGGGATTAGAGTGTTGAGCTTCTGAGAAGACTTGGAAACTGCAAAATAGTCACCAACTTGGCTCAGTGTGGTGCACTACGATTAGGCACTATGACTATGACTATGACTATGACTATGACTATGACTAATACGATACTATGACTAATACGGTAAGCTAGATCATCTGTATTCTGATCTTCTGATCTATCTTTTCAGCCAGGCCCCGTTCTTCCACCCGGATCTCGTTTGACTCCCCGATTCCCCCAACTCTCACTTCCAGGAAGAGTTTTTGTCATCGAAGATTCATTGGCATCAAAGAATCCAAAACTTAGAGTGAAGATTGCTGGAGTTGTTGGAAATGAAAAGGAGAATCAGGTAAAACTTCTCACAACACGACAAAAAGGTGTCTTCCAGTCGTTCAAGAAAGATCTATTAGCGGTTAACGATCAGCTTTTCCAACTTGTCTTTTGAACTTGTGTTTGAAAGATAATAACTAGCTAAATCTTGACATTTATCTGAAAGCTTTAGCTTTATTAGCTTTAATAGCTTTAATAGCTTTATTAGCTTTACTAGCTTTAATAGCTTCAGCTTTATTAGCTTTAATAGTTGTATTAGCTTTAATAGCTTTATTAGCTTCATTAGCTTTATTAGCTTTATTAGCTTTATTAGCTTCAGCTTTAATAACTTTAATAGCTTTATTAGCTTTATTAGCTTTACTAGCTTTAATAGCTTCAGCTTTAATAGCTTTATTAGCTTTATTAGCTTTACTAGCTTTAATAGCTTCAGCTTTATTAGCTTTAATAGTTGTATTAGCTTTAATAGCTTTAATAGCTTCAATAGCTTTATTAGCTTTATTAACTCTAATAGCTTCAGCTTTAATAGCTTTAATAGCTTTAATAGCTTTATTAGCTTTATTAGCTTTATTAGCTTCAGCTTTAATAACTTTAATAGCTTTATTAGCTTTAATAGCTTCAGCTTTAATAGCTTTAATAGCTTTAATAGCTTTAATAGCTTTAATAGCTTTAATAGCTTCAGCTTTAATAGCTTTAATAGCTTTAATAGCTTTAATAGCTTTAATAGCTTTAATAGCTTTAATAGCTTTAATAGCTTTAATAGCTTTAATAGCTCTAATAGCTTTATTAGCTTTATTAGCTTTATTAGCTTCAGCTTTAATAACTTTAATAGCTTTATTAGCTTTATTAGCTTTATTAGCTTTAATAGCTTTAATAACTTTAATAGCTTTATTAGCTTTAATAGCTTCAGCTTTAATAGCTTTAATAGCTTTAATAGCTTTAATAGCTCTAATAGCTTTATTAGCTTTATTAGCTTAGGCTGTTAGCTTTATTTGAAATTAGCTTTATCTGAAACTAAAAATTCAAAAGCGTATTTCAGAAGCTAATCCGAATTTCTCAACCTCTACCCGACTCAAAAGTCAACAAAACGGTTTGGAACTTTCAATTTCAGAACTTTTTGTTCAGTTTTTATTTCCAGCTTTTTGTTTTTCAGCTTTTCATTTTCAGTTTTCATTTCAGTTTTCATTTCAATTTTCAAATCTTAACAAACGAATATTTGATTTTTGAATTTCTAGAAATCAACCTCACACTTAAACGATCTCGCTCAAAGTACGGAGACGGTGGCGAAGAAATCGGGACGCGAAATGAAGGTCACACTTCTTGAAGACTCCTCAGAAGAGACAGATTGAGAAAAAGGGAAATAAATTGCTTTTATATCACAAAAATAGCTTTCACTTGAACATCTATACCATAAATTATTCTAATAGAAGAGCCCCTATCGTTGCGGCGCGTAGTCCAAGTTTACTCTCAGATAAACGCTCATATCTCGACAAGAGTACGTTTGTTTTTGCAGGCTTAGGTCTGAAATTAAAGTAGAAAGAATGGGAGATTTTTCGGTATATAAAACATATTTTTAGCTTTAACCAGCGCTTAGAAAAAAGTGATTGAAAAATGATGAAAAATCGGTTTTTTTTTTTGCACAAGTTCAAATGAAAAAAAAGATACATTTCTTGTAATGTTTTGTCTTGTTTTTTTTGTTTCTTGTTTGAAATTTGATTCATAAATAAAAAGAGCCTAATTTCAATCGTTTTTAAGAAAAAATTTCCGTTAGGGGACTGAATGAGGAACTGAAAACTGAATTGACATCAACCATAGATCCATTGGCTGGGATGGGGAAGAAGAACACGGTTCAGACTGGGATGGGGAAGAAGAACACGATTCAGACTGGGATGGGGAAGAAGAACACGATTCAGACTGGGATGGGGAAGAAGAACACGATTCAGACTGGGATGGGGAAGAAGAACACGATTCAGACTGGGATGGGGAAGAAGGACACGATTCAGACTCGGATGGGGAAGAAGAACACGATTCAGACTGGGAGGGGAAGAAGGACACGATTCAGACTCGGATGGGGAAGAAGAACACGATTCAGACTGGGATGGGGAAGAAGGACACGATTCAGACTCGGATGGGGAAGAAGAACACGATTCAGACTGGGATGGGGAAGAAGGACACGATTCAGACTCGGATGGGGAAGAAGAACACGATTCAGACTGGGATGGGGAAGAAGGACACGATTCAACTCGGATGGGGAAGAAGAACACGATTCAGACTGGGAGGGGAAGAAGGACACGATTCAGACTCGGATGGGGAAGAAGAACACGATTCAGACTGGGATGGGGAAGAAGGACACGATTCAGACTCGGATGGGGGAAGAAGAACACGATTCAGACTGGGATGGGGAAGAAGGACACGATTCAGACTCGGATGGGGAAGAAGAACACGATTCAGACTGGGATGGGGAAGAAGGACACGATTCAGACTCGGATGGGGAAGAAGAACACGATTCAGACTTCTACATCATTCGAAGTCAAGAAATTTCCTCAATCAACCCCTCGTTATTTCAATCATTATTTCAATTATTATTTCAATCATCAATTCAATTCAATTCAATTATTATTTCAATCATCATAAATGAATAACAAAAGTTGTTGAAAACTTGAGTTGACACCAGAAAAATAGTCGACATTTCGCCAGAGTTTCTTTTATGAGTTCAAACTCGGTCGCAATGCAGCTGAAACGGCTCGTAACGTTAACAAAGTTTGGGGCCAAGGCAGTGTCGGCGAGTCAACGGTGCGAACTTGGTTCCGAAAATTCCGAGCTGGTGATTTTGATCTCGAAGATAAAGAAGGCCGTGGCCGTCCTGTTGAACTCGGTGACGACGAACTGAAGACCCTGGTGGAAGCAAATCCATGTACGACGATTCAAGAGCTTGCGGAGGAGCTTGGCGTGGGCAAGACGACCATTTCCGACCACTTGAAACGGATTGGAAAGTCAAAAAAGCTCGATAAATTGGTGCTGCACGAAGGTCCAATTTTTCTCCACGAGAACGCTCGTCCGCACGTCGCACAACCGACCCTGCAAAAGCTGAACGAACTAAGCTACGAAACTTTGCCTCACCCGCCATATTCACCGGACCTTTTGCCTACCGACTACCACTTTTTCAAGCAACCTCGACAACTTAAGCTCAAGACGATGCCAAAAACGCTTTCGCCGACTTTATCGCCTGCAGAAGCCCGGACTTCTATGCTACCGGCATAAATAAACTTGTTTCTCGTTGGCAAAAAAATGTGTTAATTGTAATGGTTCTTATTTTGAGTTCAAGTTTTGTTTGGATCAAGTTATGGGATTTTAAATATTCGAGTTGACAACGCTCATTTATTTGATGGTTTTTAAGATTTGTTAAAACATTGATAAACTTTTTACTCAACTTTCAATGTTGCACCAGTATTGATTGTATTGGAAGACTAACATTGACATTGATCGGATTGGACAATCAAATGAAACGTTTATAATCAAATCAAACGTCGACAATCAACTCAAAATTTTTGGCGAAATGGAAAAAACCCAGAAAAGTTCTGTCTCTAAAGTAAAACTTTGCAATTTAAACTTGAATTGATCAAACTTGAATTGATCTTTGAATTTGATCAAACTTGAATGATCTTTTAATTCAATGAGTTTCAATTTTGCACCAGTGTTGATTGTATTGGAAGACTAACATTGACATTGATTGGATTGGACAGTTAAATCAAATGTTGACAATCAAATGAAACGTTTACAGTCGAATGAAACGTTTACAATCAAATGAAACATTGACAATCAGATCAAACGTCGACAATCAAATGAAACGTTTACAGTCAAATGAAACGTTTACAATCAAATGAAACATTGACAATCAGATCAAACGTCGACAATCAAATGAAACGTTTACAGTCAAATGAAACGTTTACAATCAAATGAAACATTGACAATCAGATCAAACGTCGACAATCAAATGAAACGTTTACAGTCAAATGAAACGTTTACAATCAAATGAAACATTGAAATCAGATCAAACGTCGACAATCAAATGAAACGTTTACAGTCAAATGAAACGTTTACAATCAAATGAAACATTGACAATCAGATCAAACGTCGACAATCAAATGAAACGTTTACAATCAAATCAAAAGCTTCCAGTTAAATCAAACGTCAACAATCAAATGAAACGTTGACAATCAGATCAAACGTCGACAATCGAATCAAACGTTTACAGTCAAATGAAACGTTTACAATCAAATGAAACATTGACAATCAAACGAAACGTTGGCAATCAAATCAAAAGCTTCCAGTTAAATCAAACGTTTACAATCAACTCAAAATTTTTGGCGAAATGGAAAAAACCCAGAAAAGTCCTGTCTCTAAATTAAAATTTTGCAATTTAAACTTGAATTGATCAAACTTGAATTGTTCTTCGAATTTGATCAAACTTGAATGTTCTTTTAAATCTAGATATTCGAATTCAAGAGAACTGCAATATTGTAGAACTTGATGAGTTACAAAAAGCATTTTATCTTTATTTGTACATTGCTTTCTATCATTCGCAGCGACTCGTCGAAAAGATTCGCCTCAAATACTGAAATTTGGGTTTCTGTAAAATTTGAAGACGAATTTTCTTAGAAAAACATTACACTCTAAATATTCTACAGTTTCTAAATTCAAATTTTACTTCTGGTAGCAGCAATCGTGTCTCGAATTCTCGATATCGATTTATTCGAGCTCCAGACAAGACACAAAGAATCGAATCATTCATCTCATTGTAAGTCCATCCTTCTCTCAACAATTCATTCACAATCCAGATTGCATTTTGAAAGCCAAAGCTCTGAAAAACAGTTGACGACTACGCGATTGTACGCCCAAAATACCACCGTCACGAATGGGTTAAAAAGCTTTTTCAAATATTGGGTTGTCCCGTTATGAATGCGCGTTTTTACTATTTTGTAAATTTCTCAAGATACGAAACAGATGTATATGAGTGTTATATATCATTCGAAAGCTGAAGATCTCCTCTACATTTTGGAATAAAAACTTTTTGAATTCATTCAACTTTTTCGGAAATTGACTGCACAAAGGGAGAGGTCGTTTTCGGAAAAATCCATTCCAGCTTAGCTAATCCTCAAGTTTTATGGTATAAAATAACCGCCCAGAAAAAGAAAGGAAAAGATGCTCTGAAATTGTTATATTTTAAAAAAAAGTTGTATTGATATATCTATTGGCCAAACATCAAACGGTTAACTCAATTTGAGCCGAGCCAAAACTTGATCCAAAGACACCCTTCCATTTTTTGGCCACCTCTTCTTCTGTGCAGTCAATTTGCCCAAAAGCTGGGCAAATTCAAAAACTTTTTATATTAAAATGTAAAGGAGATCTTCAGCTTTCGAATAATACTCATATATATCTTTTTCTTGATTTCGGTATCTTGAGAAATTTACAAAATAGTAAAAACGCGCATTCATAACTGGACAACCCAATAGATCAATTTAGTTAAAGATTTGAGATCATTTGATATGTAGTAGGGCATTTTTTTGAAAAGCTTTAGCCACTCAGCAAATTTCTAGAAGCTTCGATAGACAAAATAACAAAATTCTGGTGTTTTTAGTTCACTCAAGATGACAACAAGCTAACTGGGGTATGAATCCCTCTGTTTTTGGTACTTGTGACTAGACAACTAATAGTCACAGTACCGCTTTATGTTCTTAAACTGTCCATATTAGGTTGGTGCAAAAGAAATTTCGGTCGATATAAAATGTTCTTATTTTTTTAATCTGAAGAGCTTATTTGATGTTGAGCTGAAGAGCAAACGGTTAACTCAATTTGAGCCGAGCCAAAACTTGATCCAAAGACACCCTTCCATTTTTTGGCCACCTCTTCTTCTGTGCAGTCAATTTGCCCAAAAGCTGGGCAAATTCAAAAACTTTTGATATCAAAATGTAGAGGCGATCTTCAGCTTTCGAATAATACTCATATATATCTTTTTCTTGATCTTGAGAAATCTTGAGGTATCTTGAGAAATTTACAAAATAGTAAAAACGCGCATTCATAACTGGACAACCCAATAAAATTGTTAGTTTAGTTTTAAACCTGTAAGAGTCGGCGGTGAATCGCTCGAAAGTAGCCTCGAAAATTATTCGCCGCTCCGAACATTTCCTCACAAGTTGGATCAGATTTTGCGAGTATTGGCTGAGAAATCGAATTCGAAAGTTCATTCAATAGAAGTGAAATCGAATTCATCTAAATGTCCACAATTTGTTGAGAATCAATGAAGGATTACATTGCTGTTTTCTTGAAAGAATCGCTCTTCGAACTCCGTTGTGATAAACCAAGGATGTTCGATGATCTGAAAGAGTTTATTTGTAAAAAAAAGAAAGAGAACAGTTTTACTCAAATCTGGTTCTTACGGTGTACTTTGCGCTCTAGTTGCTTTAAAGTGCAAACACCCCTTTTCTAATGTACCAAGAAATCGAATTCAAAAGTTCATGCAGGCATATGAAATGCGGATTTGAACATTTTCATAAATTTTCAACGATAGAAACATTCATCGATATCCTGAAATCGATGAATGTTATAAACTATTTGAAAGTTGTAAATCTCCTCTACAAAATAGGCTAAAACGTGTTTCAATTCATCGAAGAAATTGAAGAAATTTCCAGGGCGAAATGCGAGTGACCAGAAAAGGGCACTTTTTGACCGCCCCTTTTGCCATTGGCAATCCAACTCTTAGTGTTCGGCTGTTCAATTAAAATACTTTTTCTACCAATCAATAGAGAAAGACTTGACGCATCTAATGATACCAAGAATATTTCAATTCAACAGCCTAACACCAAGAAATTTGAGCTCAAAGTTGGATCTGACCAAAAAAAGGAATCGAGTCACTTTAGGGAAAAGTTTAGTGTGGTCAAAATAGAGTTAGCTTCCCAAAAAGCTTCCCAAAACCTTCACAAGAGTTTGGTTTTGACTATATAGTGGAAAATAAGCGCCAAATCATTCAAAATATGATTCAAAATAATTAAGAGTTGGGATCATTTCATGGGAAAACTCTGCTTTTACAATAATTTTTCTTTTTTCTGAAAAAGCCGGTTTTTTGACAATTTTGAGGGTTTTGAACTTACTCTCGATCTAAATTTCCGTTAGGCTTTTTTAATGAATTGATATATACCGTAAATTCTGTAATAGTACCCCATCCCCCTCGTACAGTCGCGTAGTCGCAAAGGTTTTTTAGTATTTCATTTTTTTCAAAGCGCCCGTACTTCCAAAAAATGCGTCTTTGGTATCAAAAGATAGCCCTGAATTTCAGCTATTTTTTGATACCAAAGCGAACATTGTAGCATAAACCAGTGTCGAGAAAATCTCGTTCAAAGCTAGACTACGCAACACTCCGCACCGTCATTATGGGGGTGGGGTACTACTACAGTATTTACGGTAGTTATCCTTTTTTTAAATCTTCAATTTTGGGAAGCTAAACTCTATTTTGACCACACTAAACTTGTCCCTAAAGTGGCTCGATTCCTTTTTTGGTCACATCCAACTTTGAGCTCAAATTTCTTGGTGTTAGGCTGTTCAATTGAAATATTCTTGGTATCATTAAATGCGTCAAGTCTTTCTCTATCGATTGGTAGAAAAAGTATTTTAATTGAACAGCCGAACACTAAGAGTTGGATTGTCAATGGCAAAAGGGGCGGTCAAAAAGTGCCCTTTTTTGGTCACTCGCTTTCTCACTCATTTCGCCCTCGAAATCTCTTCAATGCTTCGATCAATTGAAACTCGTTTTAGCCTATTTTGTAGAGGAGATTTACAACTTTCAAATAGTTTATAACATTCATCGATAACAATCATCGATATCACGTTTCTATCGTTGGAAATTTATGAAAATGTTCAAATCCGCATTTCTTATGCATTTATCTAATAGATTCTTGTTTTCTTTCTCATAGCCCCAACAAGAAATTGTTTAGATGTGCTAGAAAGGATGTGTTTCCATTTTTGAGCACAAAGTAAGCACAAAGTTGAGCCATTTTCAAAGCTAACTTACTTCAACTTCAACCACTTGAAAGCAAGGAGTTCTTAAAAGCTTTGTAATAAATTTTAAAGCTGAATAAATGTAATCATTCGAAGGCAAGATTTTTCGATCTTCTGAATCGATATGAAGAGAACAACTAAAGATTGATTGTTAAATGTTAATTTGATTGTTAATTGATTGTTAATTGATTGTTAATTGATTGTTAATTGATTGCTAACTGATTTCTAGCTGATTGCTCGCTGATTGCTAACTGATTGCTAGCTGATTGCTACTGATTGCTAGCTGATTGCTAACTGATTTGTTAACTGATTCCTAACTGATTCCTAATTGATTCCTAACTGATTGGTTCTTAAATGTTAATTTAATCGAACTCTAAAAAGTTACCAATATGTCCAATCTTTTTCCGTTAATTCGACGTAGTTTTTTGGTATGCAGAAGCAAAAACAGTGTTTATCTAGGCAGACGGTGACATGCTGAAATGATTGTGATTAGAGTGTGTTCCTGTAAGAAATATATTTATACTTTGATCTTTATGATTTCTTGTGAGACCGTGTCTCGGTCTGGTACAATGGTAGATGTCTTGAAAACGCACAATAGAGAAAAGGAACCAAATCTGTAGAGAAAAGAGACCAAATCTGTAGAGAAAAGGAACCAAATCTGTAGAGAGACCATTCATCTCTTTTTTCTGGTCTCTTTGAATTCGGCTCTCTACTCCAGAAGCCTCCAGAAGGCCTTTTCTCATACGCCAACCTTCCGTTTCCTCTAAAAGCCCCCACAGTTTCTTTTTTAATCGAGTTATTAAATCCTGGAACATTTTACCCCTTTTACCAAATCTGTAGAGAAAAGGAACCAAATCTGTAGAGAAAAGGAACCAAATCTGTAGAGAAAAGGAACCAAATCTGTAGAGAAATGGAACCAAATCTGTAGAGAAATGGAACCAAATCTGTAGAGAAAAGGAACCAAATCTGTAGAGAAAAGGAACCAAATCTGTAGAGAAATGGAACCAAATCTGTAGAGAAAAGGAACCAAATCTGTAGAGAAATGGAACCAAATCTGTAGAGAAAAGGAACCAAATCTGTAGAGAAAAGGAACCAAATCTGTCGAGAAAAGGAGCCAAATCTTTATCAAAACTTTCCCTTATTAGGGCAAACTTCGCTCAAACTGGAGCAACCTGGCACTATCACAATTACTTCCACACTTGCGTGTGAAAAAAGGGATGAATAGAAGAGGGAGCACACAACTAACTCAAAACAAAGTTTAAATAATGGGTTTTTCAGTACACAAGCTACGACAAACGGACAACTGAATATCGTCTAATGACTGATCACGGTAGTTTATCCATCAACTTTGGATTTTAACTTGTGTATTGAATTTTGCCTAACTGCAGAGCAGTCGCAATTCGCCACAGTTCCTATCGGCTTTCTAAAATGGCTTTCACAGCTTTCTAAAATGCACCTATTTGAGAAAGCTATCGTAGTCAAAACCGTTAGTTTACATGCAATCAGTTCGATTCTGGTATCGATTGATTGAGCCTTGTAATTCCTCATCGAATGATACCAAAATCGAAGTGATTCCATGTAAACTAACGGTTTTGACTACGTTTTTAGAAAACGATAAAATTGTGAACCTATTTGCATTAAAGAATTGAATTTTTAGTTGAAAAGTTGAAAGTGGATACGTTTTTAAATTGTCCGCGCCTTTCTGAAGAGCTCAAAGTTATAGCTCAATCTTCAGCCTCTTATAAGCTGTCCAGCTTCTCTATTTTCGTCGAAAAATCACGAATTCACCAATAAACCTATCGTTTTCTCTAAATAAAAAGTGCTTATTGTTCAATTTCTCATCTTTTTAAGGCAATTTTTGTTCATTTTCAAGCAAATTCTACAGGCAAAGAGAAATTTTTTCGAGAAATTCGAGAGTATTTTCGTAAAAATCTATAAAAACCTCTACAAAGAAATTGACTGAATGGATTTCTCTGAAAATTTGGCTATAGACCTAACTTTTTATGCTCTATCTTTTATCTATTGACACCAAAATAGGTTTCCTTAACTAAAGTGTGTCTTTTTTAAAGCTAAA